AGACAAGACAAAGAGAAGAAACCGAGGCTTAGAGAGGTGAAGTGACTTGTGTAAGATGACAGCAGCTCAGTGGCAGAGCTGGGAAAAGAAGCCAGGGCTCCTGACGCCCATTCCATTGCCTGTCCCCTATGCCACACTGCCTCCTAACGCTACACCACTTTCAAAGGGGCTCAGACCCATGGTGGTGAGACCCGCTACGTGCGCCTTGGCCAGCAGCTAACTTGAGCCCACTTCAAAGAACCATCATGAAAGGCAGAGAAAATGTCCTGGCTCTATTTTGAAGTGCACTTGTGCAGTGAAGGTGCTAAATACTGTAAATAGGCACATGCTCTGGGCCCTGTAAAGAATTTTGTTTGTTTTAAAGAAAGGGGTTGTGCTCTTTTTTCGATACACCGGAGGCCTGAAAGATTGTTTAAAAGGTTTCTTCTGCTAGTTGTTTTACCTTGAAGATATCATAAGTCTGGTTTCCAGTTAGTGTTGCCGGAAGACTTGTTGGGGCCATAAAGGATGGCTGACTGATGGCGCACTCTGACTGAAGAGGCACAGGTGTTGAATCTAGAACAAAGGCATCCTTTCTCCCAAGCATCCATTACCCAGTAGAGTTAAGTAGGTGTTAACCAAAACAAATTCCCAGAGTTTGAAACAGTCTGGGCTAAAAAAAGGTCTTCCTCCTTCAATCGCTCCTAAGCTAGTCCTTTGTGAGTCATAATTTCATTAGATCTCTGGGTTCTTCCAAGGTGAAGCAGACCTACATTTCTAAAGTCATAAAATTAAGTAGAAAAGAATTAAAAAATAAATTCAAGGTTTCCATTACACATCAAAGAAACAAACAAGGAATCATTAGAGAGACAAGAATTCATTTTCTCCCCTGCCTTTTGCAGGTTAGTCATCCTGTAGAGTCAGGAAGTATTGCTCCCAAGTTCTGCTCTCAGGTCGCGCTGTACAACACATGGGATTGGCAGAATTTGAGGCTGACCCTTTCAGTTTGGGAGCAGTGATTCTCTCTACCGCCTCCCGAACTAGTAGGCACCTTTTTCTCAGAAGTGTAGTTGCTTCCCCTCTGGTACAAGAAGGATAAACAACTGTACTCTACTTAGTCAAGATGGGGTTTTATTGGCTCTATTCCAGAGACCCAATGTAGTTTAACCATTGTGTATACTATTTAAGACTACTAGCTAAATTGCTGCTTATTGGGGACACATTCAAGCTAGGTCAAGGGACTAAACAGTGTTTAACTATATGTGACATTCTAGGCTGTCATCTAGTTTGAGCAGGATCAGATGAGAAAGGGGTAAACACGGTCTACACTAGTCTCAACTGTTACCATAGTTGGTACAGCTGTAATGATGGCAAGTTATGGCTCCTACATCGTATCCTACTGTAGCCATAGCCCTAAAGACAAAAGCCCACACAGTACCCTGAAAGGGAATGATTTTACTCAGCATTTTTCCCCCTCTCAACCCAACAGTGAACTCAACAAGAAAGAGATTCTACTATCCTGGAGGCAATTTGCTAGATTACTTTCACCCAGCAGACTCCGATGAACTATGGATAGAGTGGTATGGGATGGATCACTATGAGAACAGGCTGGAAACACTGTCAATTCTTAAAGGTGAGTAACACGTCTTTCCCCCATGTACCGATCTAACACAACTGGAGGGGTTTTCATACGTTGTCACAGACTTGGCAGTTCCTAAGAGTTGTAGCTCATGCTATAGTTCTCAGACTAGGGTCAGTAAGTCCCGGCGAACATTTCTGTTTGCCTGTAAACCCAATTTACAGACAGAGCAGTGAGGCAGGTTAGGTAATTGAGAGCTTGGGAATGGATAAGAGGAGTAGTCTATGCATCTCCTAGAACAAAGCCTGCAGAACGTGTTGCAAAAAACACCACAATAACGAGAATAGTGCAAGGAGAGAGGGTGAAACATGGGGATATAAATAGGATTAAATTGAGCAAAAGCATATTTAAATGGACTATCAGGAGAAAAGTGCCAACACTAAGATCTATGAACAGGGCCCTACCAAATTCACGGTCAAGGGATTTTAAAAATCATAAATTTCATGATTTCAGCTATTTAAATCTGAAATTTCATGGAGTTGTAATTGTAGGGATCCTGACCCAAAAAGGAGTTGTGGAGCGGGGAGGGGGTGTCGCAAGGTTATTGTAGGGGGGATTGCAGTACTGCTACCGTTACTGCTGCAGGCGGTGGCGCTGCCTTCAGCGCTGGGCAGCTGGAGAGCGGTGGCTGGTGGCCGGGAGCCCAGCGCTGAAGGCAGAGCTGCCGCCAGCAGCAGCGCAGAAGTAAGAATGGCATAGTATGGTATTGCCACCCTTACTTCTGCGCTGCTGCTGGCGGGGCACTGCCTTGAGAGCTGGGCACCTGGCCAATAGTGGCTGCTCTCTGGCCGCCCAGCTCCAAAAGCAACGCTCAAATAAGGGTGGCAATACTGCAACTCCCTTTTGGGTCAGGACCCCCAATTTGAGAAACGCTGGTCTCCCCGTGAAATCTGTATAGTATAGGGTAAAAGCACACAAGAGACCAGATTTCACGGTCCGTGATATGTTTTGCATGGCTGTAAATTTGGTAGGGCCCTATCTATGAAATGGTCTATGAAAGCAGTAGGAGAAGACCTATTGCTGGAGTAATAGAAAACCAGACTGTTTCAGGCAATGGAGAATCTATATGAGGAACAATCCTAGGTTAGGTCAGAAGCAGGATTAAGATTATCTAGTACTACTGGTCAAAAGGCCAAAAGGTGGAAGATTACCTCTTACCCTACCATGGATCTCACAATGCTACCAGATATTAATCAATTATTCTCCCTAACTAATTATCTGGAGAGGATACACTGGGAACTGGTGGATGATGCATAGAGGAGTGAAAGCGCTTGTTATCTGCAGTTAAGAATACACTTTGAATCAATTACACAATCAGTGTATCTATCATTTTGTTGTATATTAATTAAATATCATATAGTCCAATGAAAATTAGCTGTTGAATTGTTTCTAGCCAAAGACATATAATGGAGACATAGTTCATTTCCTCCCTTTAAATCTTCGTGCTAATTACACATAACAAATACATTGATACATTAAAGGGGTCACTGAGGCTCAGGCTGTTATGAACCATCTCCCTTTGCTTTGTTCTCCAGATAAGAGGGGCATGATTGCCCTGGACATTGCATTACAGAATAGCACCATTGGAAATCTCATTCCCGTTGCACTGTCTCCATCAGCAGGCCTTCCCCTGGAACAGTGTCTGATTACGGTTTCCAGACATCTCAATCCTTGGGGTATATACCTGAACATAACAGAATCCGGAGCACTTCGCCCTACACTGGAGCTCCTTAGTAAGCTATATGCCCAGAATCTCTTATGGAACCCCATCTGGATAAGCATGGCGCTCTCCTTTGGAAGCTTTGAGACACCAGGATACATGCAAGGTGAAGAATTCCTAACAGCCATCAACAGCATTTTCCCATATGTTACCGTAGCCCCTGGCTGGCCCAGGGAAGTGATAACTGCTGGTTACACTGACCCATTGATAGACGATATGCTCACACTCTGTAAGGATCTCTGGCAACAAGTGTCATTTCAGCTGGAGGCTGTGCCGCTGAGTAGATCATGGCTGGCAACTACAAAGCTGTTGGAGATTTCACCCAGCTACACCATCACTGTGCAACACAGTTACTCAGAGGGTAGCTACTGCGATGGCTTCCCAGGACTCCGGTCTATCCGAACACACATACAGAAGGGGGTCTATTATAAGATACCGAGACAATGCAGAAATGCTTTGATGGCGGATGTCTTAACTTCTTAGAACTTCCCTGAGAGCCTGGTAAGTGACCCAAGTTTTTCCAGGGCCCATTGTTAGGCAAACTTCTGAGTGATCAGCCTTGACAAGCATTACTCTGGCAATCACAGTCGTGGTAGGGCTGTCACTGACTCCTGCACATGGGGGACGGGCGTGAGAACTATTCTTTGAGTAGAGTTTAATTTATTTGGTTGTACTTTTTGCTTTGAACAGGTCTCCCAAACAGATCCCCTACCCCCGTTCCTTTTGGTTTGTAGCATCAGCCTGCTCAGTGGTTCACATACTGGCGGGGCAGAAGGGACGGTCTTCTCTCTTTAAGCATGGTTGGTTTGTGGTTAAGGCAGTGCACTTGGACTCAGGCAATCTGGGTTTAAATCCTGGCTCTGCTACCACACACAGTGACCCTGAGCAAATCCTATGGGGCTAGATTATCAAAAGAAGCTCAAACCCCCACAGCTCCCATTGGGATGCTTCTGACTAGACTTTTGGGATCTCAGCACCCAGCATACCGAGAGCCCTTTTGAAAAAAATCAGTCCTTAATATCTGTGCCTCCGTTTTCCCATCTGTAAAATGGGGATAGTATTTCCTCTCTCCTACCTTTTGTCCATTTTAGCAGATTGTAAGCTCTTGGGGGCAAGGATTGTCTTGCTGCAGGTAGGTATAACCTCTAGGAGCCGCTGTCAGACAAATAATTGTTTTAAATAAATGTCATTTCATCTGCTTGAGCTGGAGGCCTGTTTTGCTGGACACAGTTCGGTTGTGGAGTTTTATCTACGGCTAGTTGTTGCTAAGGTGGAACTCTCCACGTAGCCCAGTTTCTCCCCCGTCTCCTTGGAGGGACATTTTCTTTACAGTAATTTGCTTCAGGTTACCCCCAGCACATACTCTAACCAGGGCCGTAGCAACAAAGAACGTGGCCCCCTCCGAACATATGTCCGGGCGGGGCCCCTTACAATGCAGAAACTGGAATGCGGTATTTATTTTGCCACTTTTAGGGGCCCCCTTCCTTGCGGGGCCCCCTCCGGTCAGAGGGTACGGAGGGCGCTCGCTACGCCTCTGACTCTAACTTTCAGCATCCAGCTTGCTCCCATACCAGTTTCACAGGCACTGTATAATTTGTAATCAACCTCAACTACAAAGTAATGAAGTGGTGCGGAGGGACATATTTCTTCTTCCCAGCTAGGATCTGCCAGGACCTTTCAGAAAAGCATATGTATCAAGAGTGCGGGCACAGTGTATTTTTGGATGTGCTTTAATTGTCACTTCTCCATACACACCTATGGCCATGGTCAGCAGCAAGACGTCTTGAGCCTGCCTGAAGAGATCTAGAACTCAGCCACGAATCCCGGAGACGCCTGGCTGGGATGACTAATATTTTAATCAGATATTTGAGTTGCACAGTTGAACATCATAGAATAAAGGCCCACAAAGCAGGAAGACTGGAAATCCGTCCCCTTAGTTGTGCTTTAGTTACCAACAAAGGGGGGGAAATTCTTCAGACAGCAGTTTAAAAATTCTTAAACAAGATGAATCAATTTCCCACAGAAAACAGTCCAATTTCCCTTACTCTTGGGCTGATCAAGAAAAATACTCAGCTAACTAAAGAAAACCAGGCGAGAAGAACTACTGAGGTCATAAGGTGAACGGGCTTCTTTATTACCACTCCCATTCTTTGTATGGTGTGTGAAAGACAGAACATGAAATTGCAGCACATCAATGAGGTATCCTGCATCATAATGCCTAGTGTGTCAAACACAACAGTACTGTGTTACAGGAGACAAGGCTGGCCTTCTCTCCCCCAAATCTTGTCCTGATTTACTTCAGTGGATTAAAGATGGACAATTCCTCCATTGAATTACAAGAACTGGTGAAAAAAAATAATCCATTTAGTAACCGTTACTCTTGTACAAAGGTTCAAGCGCGGGTGATGCTGTCAGAAAGTCAATTCCTGAACATGAGGTTACAAGATTGAATAAAAATAAAATAAGGCTAGTGCTTTTCAGCAGATTACATGCTGCTCTAGCACTAGACCTTAGAGTGATCTGACTGACTTCGCAATGAAACACTGGCCATGTAGGGACCACCTAGACCTCTCTCCCCATCCCATCCCAGGCCAAATTTTGCCCTCAGATAAACCATAATAGAAGCCCCTACAGTTGCGACAGAGTTTGGCCCTAATAATCCCTCTCCCTGATTAGGCAGATTGGCTCCAGCCATTACATTTCTCATCATCATCAAGCACACTAGAGAGAAGAGCTGATTCTAGTCACGCTACAATGGATGGATTTCAAGTCATTGTGCTCCTAGCAATGCCACTAACATTATCTAAGTAATTACTCTCCATGGTGCGCTCACCGACACAGACCAATCGCTTCAATATGTACAAGATATTCACACAGCACTGTGCAAAAAGGGCCAACAGTTACAGATTCTGAAGCCCGACTGTGATCTCATCTTTGTTCTTCTGCAGGAATCTCTCACAGGCTTTGAAGGTAACATAGAAGTCCGAGGACAGTCCTGCAACGTTAGTCGTGACGTAAGCTAGGTATCCTGGAGCTGCCTGGTTGTAATAGGACACCTGAAATCCACAACACATTCATTAAGACAGCTAAGAGGACATCCACAGGCTGAAACCTACAGGAGTCATTTTCTAATATGTACAGCAGCAGCGGCGGTACTGGCTTCCTCTCCCCGTGGTTCAGCACGGGTCTCCCCAGTGGCTCTGAATTGCTCAGAGGTTTTGGGATGTACAGACCGTAGAACTGCCAGTTCCCCTGATCCAGTGGCTGTGAACCCCCACACAGTGGGGTGCCGAAGGGCAGTAGCCACTATCCCAGCCCATAACTTGGAATAGCAGCTGTGTAAAGGTTCCTCCCCGGCTTGAGGGCAATGAATACCCAGCTCCTCGCTTAGTTCCCACCACAAATTCCTCTGGCTTTGTGTGGGCAAGGGTGAATTCCAACCTAAGTGCTGAAAGCAAAGCCAGCATGCGAGGGGCTTGGAAAAGTTTGGGTTGGACACAGATATAGTGGCCCTGACTGTTCTTATAGCCTGGAAAGGGGATGTTTTGAAAAGGTTTTTAGAATTTGAAAGACCTTTTAGTCCAGACTACAATAGTTTAAATGCAGTTCAACTATTAGGCCTCCATTACTTGAACTGTCCATAGTATTAACATTTCCTCTGAGTTCACACTCAGACCACACTGCTGCATCCACTCGGCAGGGGACAGCCTGGGACATGCAGCCCTTTGGCAAGGGAGAGTTATTGGGACAGGGCTGGGAGTCAGAAAACCTGGGTTCCATTTTCAATTCAATGCTCCCTTGGGCAAGTCATGGAATCATGCCGTGCCTCGGTTTCCCCACCTGTAAAATGGGGATAGCATAACTTATCCACCTAAGCAACATGGACAAATGTGTGCACATAAAGGCGAGGTGTTATGTGAGAGTAGGAACGGAGGTGTTGTGGGGGGGCGGGGAAGAGGTTTGTTTGTTTTTTTAAAAAGGAGGGGGGGTTGGAAATTGAAGGACTCCAGAAATTCTCCCAAATCCCCAACCCAGCACAGACAGGGATGTGCAGCACCAGACTTGCAGGCCCTTCGGTTTTCCCCCTCTGAACTGGGCACTGGGGATCTGAACTAAAGCACTAGTACCAACCACAGGTCAGCATGCGCGAGTTCTTGGTTATGGAATGTGGGTAAAGGCCACGGTGATTGTCGCTGGGGGACACAGCTATCTTCCAGAGAGCTGAAAGCCTCACCTTGGTTAGCTCGGCTGTCTCCTGCCAAATACAGAAGCCGGAACACATCGTCTCCCCTCGGGTGTACTCGGGGTTTGGTGGACGGGTGGGCAGCGTGACCGACCTGAACGCGACGACATATGGGTCACTGGAAGAGAAGGAAGTCTGCTTAGGAGCAGTTCACAAGTGGATTGAAAAGGTGAGAAAGGAGCAGGATTTTATGCCAGCTCTCAAATTAACCCAGCTCAGATCAAGGCCAGGAAATGCAGGTGGCAGAACTGCCCCAACACATGCTCAGTGACAGACTGGAAATCACCTCTGCCTAGGTATTCGTGCATGGAAACACAGCACTACGCGGTCACAGTCCACCTTCTGCTTCTGCATTTCTTCTTGTATTGACTTCAAAATAAGTTACTTAAAATTACAGCCAAGATATCTTGGAGTGATTTTTTTTTTTTTTAAATCAAATCAACTGAAAACAATGCGGAAAGAAGGTATGGGGGAGGGGAAGGCTGACTACGATCTGGCCTCTATCTACAAATCTCATCACAGTGGCTCCAGTGTCCCCTGTGTTTTTATCATATTGGGTACCGAAAGCAGGTGAGGTATCCCTTTCCCCAGGCACACTAAGGCAAATACATTGCAGTCAGAGTGGGTGCTCCCAATCCACTTAGTGCCAAGGGATTGGAGACTTGGATATTCATAGGAGCCTAAGGGAGTCAGGCAACCAGCTCCTACTGAAATTCAGTCTCCCTGAGACTCCTCTGAAATTCCCAGCCGAAGAACCGGGCTAAAAAGAAGGCTGGGGTGAGAATGGTCAGGAGCAGCATGTGACAAGTATTCATCTCCTAAACTGCATGCCGAAGCTCACCCTTCTCTAGGAAGGGGTAACTCGAATGAGCTCCCCAAGGCATGATGTCCAGTCCTTGGATCATTCTTGTGGTTCTTCTCAGAACCATCTCCAATACAAAATCCTTCTTGACTCACAGGCCCCAGAACTGGGCACAGGATTCCAGTAGCAGTCGCACCAGTGCCAAATACAGAGGTAATAAAACCTGCCTACTCCCACTTGATAGTCTCTTTTTTAAATAGATCTAAGGACCACACCAGCCCTTCTGGCCACAACATGGCACTGGGGACGCATATTCAGCTGATTGTCCCCCAGGATACCAGTCTTTTTCAGAGTCACTGCTTCCCAGGAGAGAGTCCCCCATTTCTGGAAGTAGGCGGACATTCTTTGTTCCTAGCTGTACAATCTTACATTTAGCCATACTGAAATCCACACTTGCTTACACCCAGCTTAGAGCGCTCTAGATCGCTTGGTATATCAGTCTAGATTTCTACATGCAATACAAAAAGCTACATACTGAAACACACCCATGTTCTATATACAAGTTACTTTAGATCCCTCTTGCAGCCAAAAAAAAATAATTGTGCAGTGAAAAGGAAGTTGTGTAGCAGTGCCAATTGCTCCTTTGTGCAGCCTTTTCGGATCCACAGAGATGAGGCTATGAATTAACTATTTTCATTGTAACATATTTTTCACTCGCTGGCTGATAGGATCATTTTCATGGCAAATGTTTACATTCTTTAGCATGTCATAAACCAACCATCTCTCAAGGGCTGTGCATCATTGGACATAAGTATGGGGTTCCAGCAACTGTTCGACACACTGCACTTGAATACCACAGGCACTGAAAGACAGCCTGGCACAAGAGGGAATCCCAGACATATTAAAACAGGAGAGAAAGCACCATCTGTGGGGATTTGAGAGAGCGGAAATACTAAGCTAATACTAAGCACGGACTTTGTAGCACTGAAAGCAAACACCACGCTAACCAAACACTAGACATTTCCAGCCCCATGGGCTAGACCCAGCACTGTTGTCCCTATTTTGTGCACCGGCTGCCAGCAAGCACTGCACAGGGCTAGACCCAACATGCCACTGGAGCCATGCTAATCTACGTACCCTTCATCACAAGGTTTTCTTCTTGACGCCAGGATGACAAAGTCCTGAGGCTTGTTTTCTTGACTAACCGTCTGACTAAGCACGTGGTAGATCGTGTCGTCTTCATCAACTTGCTGGACGAGCTCAGCACTCCTGGAAAGAGGCAGAAGGACATTCCAGAAAGGATTCAGGCTGACTTCCGAAAGATGAGGTCATCTTCCCAGCACCATGACACCAGACACCTTCCCTTAAAAGATGTCCTCCCTCTCTCTCAATAGAGTTTCATCATACATAGGGCCCTACCAAATTCACAGCCATGAAAAAAACAGAGACTGTGAAATCTGATCTCTCCCGTGAAATCTGGTGCCCAGCCGGGGGCTCCTAACCTGTGCGTGGGTCCGGCTGCTAGTCCCAGCCAGGGATGGGGAAGGACCAGACATCCTCTTCCCCTGCAAAGACTGCTCCCAGGGCAGGTCAGACCCACCTCAGGTAACCTCCCCAGTCTGGAGGAAGCTCCATGGCTCCAGCTGTCATTACCCCCCACCCCCACGCGGGGACCCAGTAGCTCCAGCTGTCGTCACCTCTCCGTGCGGGCAGCTGTGGCTCCAGCTGTCAGCCCCGCCCCCCAACTCAGACAAGAGACAGCCGGAAAAAAACAGGCCTATGGTAACCTGCCCCCCCATACCCTGTGACCCTCACTTCTATGCTGCTGCTGGCAGTGGTGTTGACTTTAGAGCTGGGCACCTGGCCAGCAGCCTTCCTCTCTGGCTGCACAGCTCTGAAGGTAGCACCCCTGCCAGCAGCAGGGCAGAAGTGAGGGTGGCAATCCCATGACCCCCCTACAATAGCCTTGTGACCCTCCCACTCGGACCACCTTTTGGCTCAGGCCCCCCTGGGTTACCATACTGTAATAGTTTAGATGTAAACATTTGAAAACCTGAAACTGACTCATTTTAACCCCCCTGGCTGTGAAATTGACCAAAAACGGGCCATGAGTTTGATAGGGCCCTAACCATACGGTGTTACTCAGCAGTAACTCAGACTCCAGACAGAAGCAGTTCAAAGCCAGAGAAACAACTGTCTAACTGGCTTTTGGTTTGGCTAACTTACAATCAGTCAGAGGAAGGAGGAAGAAAAGCTTTCTCTGCTGAAGTAGAGCCACCTTCCCAGATATATCCGCTCTCCCATGGACTACGGGCCAGATTTTTAAACACATCTAGGCACCCAAAGATGCAGGTCATGAAAATCCCACCGGGCGCCTACCTGCCTCTTAGAGCCAGATTTCCAATTTGACTACCCTGTAGTAGAGCATTTTCTTAACAAAATTAATTGCTCCAAACAATTCTCTTTTGGACACACCCTGAAATCCTTGCTTAGGCTAAAGATCAGTTGCCTTCTGTGGGAGTTCATACTTGGCTCTCCCTGGGCAAGAGTCTGAGCCAAACCCCACTGGTGTCAACAGGCTTTGGATCAAGCCCTGAGTTCTTCTGCATCTGACCCCAAACGTTTCAATTGTATTGTCAAGTAGGTTGCAAATCCTTTTCACGCATTGTGACGTGGCACCTCCTGTGCCTTCTCGGTCTGGTTTTGTTTATTTTTGAAGGATGGGATTGGCCTGAAATTAGAGGTGGTTTCTGAGCCTTTCACTGGGATATTTTGGTTTTGATGGAGGACATGAGGTTCGTGGCTGGGATCAGAGCCACAAAGATCACCGACTCACTGTGTGACCATTTCACCTTCTTGTAGCTCAGTCAACCCAGGAATAAAATGAGTAAGGAAGTCCAGTACACTGTCACTGAAGCGCACACATAACCAACCCTCCCCCCCCCCGGAGCCGACCGTCCCTGGGATAATAAGTTACAGCTCCTTAAACTTCCCAGGCTGCTCCTACGAGTGGAGAAGTCCTGGATTCAGTGCAAATGAACAGGACAGGCCGCTCACCTGAGGCTGTGGTACGGGAAGAACAAGGGGCCCTGACAGAGGTGTCCTCTGTGACGGATACTCCGAAGACTCCAGTCTCCAGTTTAGAAGTGTGTTATGTATCTGAATGGGCTAAGGATTGTATTCTGGCTCCATGGGGGAGTTACAGGGTTTCCTGCAGGAACGAAAACCATTGGGGGATAATTCATGCAAATCCCCATGCAGCTAAGCCTGGAGAAGCCTCATCCCCTGGGGGAAATTGCATAGACTGGTTTGATGTGGCTCATGAGGCCTGGCAAACAAAGAACTGAAAACTGTATCAAGTGACCACTTTGACGTAGGGAGAGGGGCCACACGCACGGTTTCCAAGAACTGCAGGACATGAGACAGTGACCCAGACACATAGGCCCTGCCAAGGACCCTGAAGCCTGCCAGGGTCTCTATGCTGAAGACGGGTGACTGCCTGCTGAGCGAACACTTGCACGTAAGCTGTTCATTGTTTTTAAAAACATTCTCTCTGTAATACTTTTCTTCTGAATAACTAGTACTTGATTTATGGAGGCTGGCTGGTCGCTGGTTAACCCTGCCATTGCCCCAGAGAGAACAGGGCTTGGCCTACAGATAGATCTGCTGAGGTGAATTGCAGTCTACAATCCCCAGCCTGGAGAGAATGGATGGCAGGATGCTGCCCCAAGGAGAGGCGAAATCTCAAGAAGGCCACACAGGGATCAGAGGTGCAGTTATTTTGGGAACTGTGACACCCTCCTGCAAAGGAGATTTTAAACCAGAGTTCCTTCTGCCTCTGACTGGGTGTCTGTCGATGTGGCAGCTTTAAAATAAAGGCAGGTTGGACAGGCGTATGATCCTGGCACAAGATTCCACCCCCTCTCAGTAAAACCAATTCTAATTACCACCCAAGGCCATGGGAGAGCAAAGAGCATATGCTGGTCATAGTGTATAGTCACAGTCCACAAAAAGAACAGGAGTACTTGTGGCACCTTAGAGACTAACAAATTTATTAGAGCATAAGCTTTCGTGGGCTACAACCCACTTCTTCAGATGCATATTGAGTGAAACATATCGAGGAGATATATATACACACATACAGAGAGCATGAACAGGTGGGAGTTGTCTTACCAACTCTGAGAGGCCAATTAAGTAAGAGAAAAAAAACTTTTGAAGTGATAATCAAGGTAGCCAAGTACAGACACTTTGATAAGAAGCAAGTGTGAGAATACTTACAAGGGGAGATAGATTCAATGTTTGTAATGGCTCAGCCATTCCCAATCCCTGTTTAGCCCTGAGTTGATTGTGTCTAGTTTGCATATCAATTCCAGCTCAGCAGTCTCTCGTTGGAGTCTGTTTTTGAAGTTTTTCTGTTTTAAGATAGCCACCCGCAGGTCTGTCATAGAATGGCCAGACAGGTTAAAGTGTTCTCCCACTGGTTTTTGAGTATTATGATTCCTGATGTCAGATTTGTGTCCATTAATTCTTTTGCGTAGAGACTGTCCGGTTTGGCCAATGTACATGGCAGAGGGGCATTGCTGGCACATGATGGCATATATCACATTGGTAGATGTGCAGGTGAACGAGCCCCTGATGGTATGGCTGATGTGATTAGGCCCTATGATGGTGTCACTTGAATAGATATGTGGACAGAGTTGGCATCGGGCTTTGTTACAAGGATAGGTTCCTGGGTCAGTGTTTTTGTTCAGTGATGTGTGGTTGCTGGTGAGTATTTGCTTTAGGTTGGGGGGTTGTCTGTAAGCAAGGACAGGTCTGTCTCCCAAAAGAATTAATGGACACAAATCTGACATCAGGAATCATAATACTCAAAAACCAGTGGGAGAACACTTTAACCTGTCTGGCCATTCTATGACAGACCTGCGGGTGGCTATCTTAAAACAGAAAAACTTCAAAAACAGACTCCAACGAGAGACTGCTGAGCTGGAATTGATATGCAAACTAGACACAATCAACTCAGGGCTAAACAGGGATTGGGAATGGCTGAGCCATTACAAACATTGAATCTATCTCCCCTTGTAAGTATTCTCACACTTGCTTCTTATCAAAGTGTCTGTACTTGGCTACCTTGATTATCACTTCAAAAGTTTTTTTTCTCTTACTTAATTGGCCTCTCAGAGTTGGTAAGACAACTCCCACCTGTTCATGCTCTCTGTATGTGTGTATATATATATCTCCTCGATATGTTTCACTCAATATGCATCCGAAGAAGTGGGTTGTAGCCCACGAAAGCTTATGCTCTAATAAATTTGTTAGTGTCTAAGGTGCCACAAGTACTCCTGTTCTTTTTGCGGATACAGACTAACACGGCTGCTACTCTGAAACCAGTCACAGTCCAGCCACTTCATGGAGTTGGGAAGAGCAGCACAGCTTTATAGCACGGCACACTTTATAGGAAGTTAGACCCCTTATATGGGACAGGAACATAGAATGTTAAAGCTACGCGCCAGCTCACTGTTGTGGTTACATGCCTCTGCCAGCTAAGAGTCTCAGCTGCAATCCTAGGCTAACAAGTCTAGAGGTGTCATCAGCATGCAGGCAGAACAGTTGACTAGCTTGTACACGTGGCTGGTCTCCAGAAGATAAAAGCTTTGCTACTGTCACCAACGGCTAACGGGGCGTCTTCTTTTGCTCAAGTGGCAGAAACATGTGCTTCAGGAGGTAAAGGTCCCGGATTCTATTCCGCTGTACGACACACGAGCAGTGTGGCAGCCAACTCCGATGTCGGTACATATCCAGCCACAGACTGCATAGACTGTACACTCCTGCTTTTGGAGTGGGGTGGATGATGGAGGGGAAAAAGCACTTTGCACGGCTTGAATGAAGAACCTTTTTGGATTAGGAAGTTGCTTTGAAGGAGGAAAGCCAAAGAAAAGAAATTGGGGACCTTCTCCCCCCCCCATTATTCCCGATAAAACAGGGACCATCAATCCTAACATTTTAGCTGTCCTCCAAGTACTCACGCATAATGTCTGTCCCATTCGTGCCTCTGTCTTAAGTCTGACAGAAGGAAGAAGGCCTGTGTTGCATCAATGCAGAGGCTCATCTCTATTCGGAAGGAGAGGTACTTGTCTTCCTCCAGCGTGTACATCCTGACCTTTGAGAGGGAGACAGACAGAACAGGTGAGAGGCACAGCCTGCTGTCTTCGTTAAAATGACATTTGATTTTCCCCAATAAGATTCATTCATATTTTTACCTTATTATAATATAACCAAACAGCTTTGATCTCTCTCTCTCTCTCTCTCTCTCTCACACACACACACACACACACACTTTTCATTACATTAGCATGAAGAATCACATATACCTGGTGGTACATGAGGCCTCTGTTTTATGAGCTGGTTCTGACGACACCATTGAGCCCCATGAGTAAATCACAAAACAGTTGTCCAAGAGAAAGTTACCGGATAGCTAGCATGGGTGTTGAATGGAAATGGGTGAAACTGGAAACAGCTCTGGTTGGTGGGTTCAGTGGGATTTTACTATAGCACAGGTAGTACGGCATCACTGGAAGCCATATATTTTACATGTACGTAAGTGTGTGTATGCAGTGTACATTTGGACGTACATAGAATGTTGATCGTATAGACACACAGTCACTGAATACATGTAGTACAATCCCATTTATCCAAAGTGTTTTGGGGACATCAAACGCTTTTGGATACACTCAAAGAACTGGGGGCGGGAAAGGACTGACGCATGTCCTCTGATCTTAACACAAGTGGTTTCCACTAACTGTAGGCAGTCCAGGAGACTAAAGAAGGCAGTGTTGACTTGGGGGTGCGGCAGGGTTAAGTACCTTGTCTATTTCTGTGGCGAGTACCCAATTGGTTTTCGCTACAAGAGTCTTCAGTGCAGAAACATTGTTGTAGCTCAGATAAACCTACATCAAAAACATAAGAAAATACAGTAGAAATCACGTTGACCTTCGGTTAGGTTTTCCTGTATCTAAACTCATGGGATACTATAGCAAAGCCTGCAGCTGCTCAGATACTGAATTAATCAGAATAAATCAGGGGATAAGAAGGAATTTATTCTTCCCGTTAAGATCTCTCTAATGCCTGCTGTTTTAGGTAAGGTTTCATCCTTCTTGTTTCCATAGACCATATTGATTCATGTATAAACTTCTAGCTGCTACTTAGTACCGGCTCCTGGGCCTTCCTACAGCACATGGGGCTTAGGTGCCAGGGGAGGCTCTGGCCAGTACCTACGGAGACAGTTATTTTACCTTGTTACTTTGGTCCCAGGGCACCGACAATGGCACTTTTGTCTGTTCACAGGAAATGATGTATTTTCTAGGGAAAACAAAGAGAATGGCTTTAGTTACAGCAATACTGATCTTCAGCACGTGACAGGGAAAAGGACATCTCAAACACATGCTGGTGAAAGAGAGAGACAGTAAAGTTAGCAGCAGTGTTTTTGACTTCAACATCTTCTCCAGCAATGATCTACAAAAGGAGTGGGGGAAAACACGGTCATCTTATGAATATCTTGGGACCAGGATCCCAGTGGATTGAAAGAGCCATTTCTTCTTGGCTCAAATTGAGGGAGCTCAGAGCAACAAAAGCCTCAGAAATCCTGCACATCATTTGCAGGCGGAAGGGAGAGGAATCAGATTTTGGCCCAGGGTGAAAAGAACCTTTAAGGATTACTTCTAACAAAGGCCAGGCAGTGATCTGGACGGGGCAAGACTAAGGCCTGGTCTACACTAACACTTCTGTTAGTCAGGGATGGGGCTGGATTTGAACAGGAAGTGCTCCTATCTGGCCTTTCTGGTCAGGCAGGCCAATCTCTGCGGGTGGTCAGGGAGTGGCATAGGCAAGCTGTAAATGCATGGCTTCCACCCGGGCACCCCCTCACGGCAGCCCTTGGCCTCATTTCCCCTTGATTTCTCAAATAACCCATGGACTCTGAAGGCTCTACTGAATTTAATTTATTACCAACAGTCCACTACCATGAACCAGCATCCCCTCAGCACAGTGCAAACAAACAGTCCAACTCCAGCATCTCTCCCCCGACCCCCAGGTACAGCTCTGGCGTTTCCCACCCCACCCCACCACTCTAGCTGGGGTGTTTCTCTGCCCGGTTTCCTTCCCAGCTACGGTTCCAGCTCTTGCCCGGACACATCAGCAGGCTCACGTCTCCATCATACCCCAGACTTTGGCCCTCTCTAGCCAGCAGGCATCTCCCTGGGCTGCTCTCAGCCTTCAGCGCTCTCTGGCCTGGGGACATTTGTAGAAGACCCTCTGGCCGCCCTCCTCTTTCACCAGCCTGATCTAGTGCCGCTGCTCAACCAGGGAACTCTTACCACGCTGTCCTCCAGGGGAATCCCCTCCCTACAGCTCTTCGCCGAGCTCGCTTTACTGTGGACTCACCCCTGTCCTGAACTCTGGGTTCTGAACTCCCCTCTCGGTTATAACTCCCCCGGGCACCCCACCCCCCTCCTTACACCAAGCCAGGGCACACTTGGACGGGAACAGGAGAGCTGAGCCTACTTTCATTTAATAGGCCAGCTACCCTGTTACACAAGCAGACCGGACCCCAAACTAGGAGCCAGGAGATCTGGGTTCTGTTCCCAGCTCTTCCTCTAACTTACTGGATAACCTCTTTAGCAAGTCCCGGAGAGCCTCTCGTGGAAATGGTTTTGGGTGCCCACAATCCAGGACCTGGTTTTCAGAAGTGCTGAACACCCACCAACTCCAAATCAAATCAATGGGAACCACATCTGCCCAGGCCCTAGGGTCTAAAGCAGGGTGCCCAAAACAGGCTGCTTCTGAAATCTGGCCCTTAGCTTCTCCATTCCAGTTTCCCAGTCTGTTAAATGGGGATGGTACTTATCCACCTTTACAAAGTGCTTTGAGAGCCACAGCTGACGTGTTACTGAAGAGTTCGTCATTCGGTTTGTAACAAAATCTGAAGTCGGGCAAGTCTCTGTTTGGAGGTGCACAGCATCCCAAGCTTGGATTAGAAGAGTTTGGGTTTTATCACCGGAGCAAACACTATATTTGAACTATGCACAACAGCAAGTCAAATTTGCAGGATGCTGTTTATTTAGGGTCATTTGATGGAAGCCTTTACTGTAACAGAAAGGATCAGAATTTATCCCGGGACCGTTGTAATGAGTGAACAGCTGATGCTAGACTCAGACAGATACTGCACTTCTGAGGGACCATGCGTTTGTTCTCATATTGGCCTTGGACTCAAGGGAAAGTTCTGAAACTCCTGGAAGCAGGAAGGCAGATGCCGCAAGACATTCCAGGAAGAAAATATTTTCACTGCTTAATTGCCACACTTCACTACAATCTTATTCTCGGGAACGGAGATACTGGGGTATAATTTGTCTGATAACACCAGATCTGTAATCAGAGACATGATATAACCAAGGTGAAGAGTTGAAAAGTAACAAAATAAAGCAGCTGTCTCTTTTGCAAGCTTCATTGCAACCACATGACCAGAGAGGACTCCAGGAATAGTGATTCACAATGGGTGGGGAAGACAGGACTCCAATTGCACATGCAGATAAAACAAGTGGAGAGATTGGGGGGGGGGGGAAAATAGTGTTCGTAACAGATGTAAAACTAACCAGAGACCAGCTTCCCATTTTTCTACAGATCAGGGGCAGCAGTAAGATACCTGTTAGGGTGAGGACAACTCCAGTCCAGAGAAGAGCCATTAAAGATCTAGAAAACACGACCTATGAGGGAAGATTGAAAAAAACTGGGTTTGTTTAGTCTGGAGAAGAGAAGACTGAGGGGGAACATGATAACAGTTTTCAAATACATAAAAGGTTGTTACAAGGAGGAGGGAGAAAAATCGTTCTCCTTAACCTTTCAGGATAAAACAGCCAGGGCATTTTAGGTTGGACATTAGGAAAAACTTCCTAACTGTAAGGGTGGTTAAGCACTGGAATAAATTGCCTAAGGAGGTTGTGGAATCTCCAACATTGGAGATTTTTAAGAACAGGTTAGACAGACATCTGTCAGGGATGGTCTAGATAATACTTAGTCCTGCCATGAGTGCAGGGGACTGGACTAGATGACCTCTCGAGGTTCCTTCCAGTCCTACAATTCTAGGATTCTCCAAAACCCAGTCAATTACTGGTCTTGGATGCAACTAGGGCTTTATATCGAGGTTCTGCAGATACTCCATTAAGCCAAAAATAGCAGCTTCCAGGGGAAAAAAAAACTGACTATCCAATAAGTTACTTTTTCACTGCTTGAGGGGACGGCATAAGAGATGTGTGCACTCTTGTAATAAATAATAATAATAATAATATTTAGCACTTTTTACCCATAGTTCTAAAAGAGTTTTACAGAGGCAGGCGAGTATCATTATCCCTGTTTTACTGAAGGGGAAACTAAGGCACAGAAATTCAATGATTTGTCCAACTCTCACAGCAGAGCCAGGAATAAGGACAGCAAGAAAACAAGGAGCAATACACAAATGGAACACGATAGATGTACCAACTCTCAGGCTCAAGTTGTTTATTCATTCCATATCTTACCCACTAAACCAGAGGTGGGCAAACTTTGTGGCCCTAGGGCCACATCGGGTACAGAAATTGTATGGAGGGCCAGGTAGGGAAGGCTGGGGGAGGCTATGCCTCCCCAAACAGTGAGGAGTGGCCTGGCCTCCGCCCCCTATCCAGCTCCCCAGAACCCCCACCCAACCCCCCATGCTCCGTGCGGTCGGGGAGTTGGGCTGGCTCCTCCGCAAGCCTGTCCTGACCCCGCTCTCTGGCAGGAGCTCAGGGGCCAGAGGGAAGGGTCCTGTGGGGTGGATGTGGTCCGCAGGCTGTAGTTTGCCCCCCTCTGCACTAAACCATACTGCTTCTCTTGTGCTCCGAGAGCACCAAACATTCAAGATCTCTAATCCTGGCTCTCGACAAATGCTTGGAAGTCTTGGGCAAATCACTTCGCTCTGCCTCAGTTTCCCCAAGAATAGAGTGAGGTTAATAAATTCTTCCTTTCATGCCCCACAGGAGGGAGATAAAACTGAACGATTACAAAGCACCTCTAAGATGCATAGCACTAGAAGAGGGCTAATCATTATGATTATTACAGATTGATCTTGTCTAGCTATGTATTTTTGTGTTCTCAGTCTATGCAGATATTATAGTGCATTAATCACCAAGGTATCTGGATATTAGAGTGTGTTTTGACAATAACAGATGTATAAAATAAGCATAGCCCTGTGATGCTTTGTTTTATACACAGTTTCTACTTCTGAATTTAGACAGTTTTTCCTGTGCTGTCCCTACCATCTTCTCTCTCTCCAGCTCCCCTACATATGTCGGTCTTCCTAACGTTCCATGGTTTGGCACTACATCACTTAGCCCTCAAGTACCTTTTCACAGAATCATAGAAATGTAGGAATGGGATCTCGAGAGGTCATCTGGTCCAGCCCCCTGTGCTGAAGCAGGACCAAGTTCATCTAGACCAACCTTGACAAGTGTTTGTCCAATTTGTTCTTAAAAACCTCCAATGAATGACATGGATTCCACAGTCTCCCTTGGAAGCCCGCCTATTCCAGTGCTCAACTATCCGAATAGTTAAGTTTTCTCCTAATATCCTAAATAGTTTTTCTTAAATCTTCCTTGCTGCAGATTAAGCCCATTACTGCTTGTCCTGCTTTCAGTGAACATGGAAAACAATGGATCATCATCATCTTTATAACAGCCCTTAACATATTTGAAGATTGTTATTGGGTCCCCCCTCAGACTTCTTTTCTCGAGACTAAACACGCCTGTCTTTAACCTTTCCTCATACATCAGGCTTTCTATACCTTTTAATCATTTTTGTTGCTCTCCTCTGGACTCTCTCATATTTTTCCTAAAGTGTGGCACCCAGAACTGGACACAGTACTCCAGCTGAGGCCTCACCAGTGCAGAGTAGAGTGGGACAAATTACCTCCTGTGTCCTACCTACAATGCCTGTTAATACACGGCAGACTGATGCCTCTTTAGCAACTGCATCACACTGTTGATTCATACTCTGTTTGTGATCCACTAGAACCCCCAGATCCTCTTCAGCAGTACTACCACCTAGCCAGCTATACCCCATTGTGAAGTGCATTTGATTTTTCCTTCCTACGTAAAGTACTTTGCACTTGTCTTTATTGGATTTCGTCTTTTGATTTCAGACCAATTCTCTAATTTGTCAAAGTCATTTTGCATTCTAATCCTGTTCTCCAAAGTACTTGCAACCCCCTCCCAGCTTGGTTCCACCATAAGCACACTTTTCACTCCATTATCCAACTCATTCATGAAAATATTGACTAGTACCTGACACAGGACAGACCTCTAGAGGACCCCTCACGAATACCTCCAGTTTGACAGCAACCTTCTGACAATTACTCTGAGTACAATCATTCAGCCAGTTGTACACCCGTCCTAGCCATTTCATCTGGAATGCATCTCCTTAGTTTACTTATGAAAATGTCATGTGGCAATGACATTTTCCTTACTTAAAAAAATATATATATCAAGGTAGATCATGTCTACTGCTTCCCCCCATTCAGCTGGCCAATAACCCTGTCAAAGAAGGAAATCAGGTTGGTTTGGCTTGATTTGTTACTCGGGCTTGACAAATCCATGGTGTCTATTTCTTATAACCCTATAATCCTCTAGGTGCTTACAAAGAGATTGTTTAATAATTTGTTCCATATCTTTCCAGGTATTGAAGTTAGGCTGACTGGTCTATAATTCCCTGGGTCCTCTGTGTTCCCCTTTTTAAAAGATAAGTACTATGTTTATCCTTCTCCAGTCCTCTAGGACCTCACATCCTCCATGAGTTCCTGAAGACAATTGGCTAATAGGTCTGAGATTGTATCAGCTTGTTCCTTAAATATCCTAGGGTACATTTCATCAGGACCTGCCAGCTTGAATGCATCTAATTTATCTACATATTCTTGAACCTGTTTTCTCTCTATTTTACCTTGCGTTCCTTTCTCTTTGTTGCTAATATTGTGTTAAGTATCTGGTCACAATTTACATTCTTAGTGAAGACAAAGTAGGCATTAAACACGTCATCCTTCTTGATGTCCATTATTAGCTCTTCTTCCCTGTTAAATAGGGGCCTACACTTGCCTTCATCTTTCTCTTCTTCCTAATGGATTTATAAGCCCATTTCTGATTGCCTTTTATGTCACTTGCTAGCTGAAACTCATTTGTGCCTCAGACTTTCCGATTGTCCCTCCATGCTGGTGTGATTCTGGTGTACTCATCCTTAGCAGCTTGTCCACGTCTGCACTTTTTGATAGATTCCTTTCGGATTTTCAGATCCTTAAAGAGTTCCTGATGGAGCCATACTGACCTCTGACTATTCTTCCTATCTTTCCTTCACATTGGGAGAGTTGGGTTGCACCTTACTACTGTCTCTTTGACCAACTGCCACCTCTCCTGAGCTCTTTTGAGTGTCTTTCTGCTTCAAGCTGAGCTCAGCACCGAATAGGTTGGGCTAGAAAGGCAACTGGGAGTCCGGCCTGAATTCAAATCCTGTTTCCAACACTGACGCGCTGTGAAGAAACCACTTGAACTCTGGTCCCAACTGAACTCCTGGAGCGCTGGAAGGTTAAGTTCCTCCAGTCTTTGAGAAATCCTCACATGGAAGGTGCTATGTAAGTGCCAAATATTATCACAGCCATGGCGTGCAACCCCTCCCCCACACATAGGCGCTGACTTCCTGCGTTTCCAGGGGGTGCTCCACCCGCGCTCTGCCCCAGCCCCTGCCCCCACTCCACCCCTTCCCCCAAGGCCCCAGCCCCGTCCCTTCCCGGCCCCGCTCCTCCCCCTCCCCGCACCTTCCGCATGCCTCTAAACAGCTGACTGCGCTGGGAGGAGCTGATCAGTGGGGCCTGATGGCAGGTGGGAGGCGCTGGGAGGAAGGGGGAGGAGCTGATCAGTGGCGCCTGATGGCGGGTGGGAGGTGCTGAGGGGAGGGGAATGAGCTGATCCGCAAGGCTGCCGGTGGGTGCTGAGCACCCACTATATATTTTTTCCCCCATGGGTGCTCCAGCCCCGGAGCACCCACGAGTTGGTGCCTAGGTCCCCCCCCCCCACACACACACACACACACACCTTCCATGGTACAGAAAGCCATGGGTTACCTCCAATTATCCCAGCCTTTACTGAGTTACCTGCATGTGATCATTCAGAGCAGAACGTGGACTGGAATAAAAACCACACTGTTCTATTTAAAACGCTATAGCCCCCCGGTTATTTTTTCCTTCTTAGTTTGAGGCTGATCCTTTTCACTCACCTGTCCAATCTAATTTTTTTTCTAGCACTGGCTTCTCTGTACCGTCTCTCTCCATCCTGTGAAATGGAAACATGTTTGTGAGGTTAAAGTTTTGGAAAAATAATAAAAAATTTATTGACCGGAAAAAAAGGTTTTTCAACATTAAGAAAGCGTATGCGCGAACCAATCCCACAGCCTCTGCTGGTCTCGGTAACAGCCATGGCTAGGGAAATGCCTGGGATGTGAATGGAAACACGACGCGGATCTTGTCCATGCTCTGGCTGTTAGGTTGGTTCTTGGTTAGCTCTAACCAGGGCTATTGTTTGCACACACTATGGTTAACACATGGCAGGCAACCCTAGCAGTTATCAGTGTGTTGCCCCCACCAGCAGCCTAGGCTAGGACTGTCTTCCTGTTTTTAAGAGTATGGACAGAGCCTCCCAACTGTGCCTGTGCACCCAGGCTGGCTAATTCTCCCACCAATCATTCCTCTCAGCAAGCCATCCCAGCATGCATTGCCTCACATGCTGCTGGTGCTACTCTGTGTAGGTGCCTGGCCTCTGGGAATCCTACCCCAGAGGAGTCAGAATAGGGGAGTTGATCAGGTTTTTCCCCAGAATGTACCAACGCAACAGAGCTATGCAATGTGGTAGAAGTGGATGGCTAACAGCCAATGCATTTGTGCTGTGTGGGAGAGCGGGGTGGGGAGGCGTGTGGAGAACCTGCTGTGCAGACAACTCAGTTGTGTTTGTTGTAGCCAGGACACACGTGAGTCCCAAACTGGTAACAAAAATTTGGTTGTACTTGTTATGTAGACGGGGCCACTGGCTGAAGGCAAGTTAGCATTGTACAGCTATTTGACTTAGTATAGAAGATACTGGTTAAATGCTTGTGTTGCATTAACTTCCAGGCTCCCTTGCCGCACGCTGCTGGGCAATGCTGCTGCTTGCCAGTTACTATACGGGCTGTGAATTTCCTCTGATTTTCCAAATGGGCTGATATAGCACCACTTGATTTACAGCAAATATTTCCGTTTTACTGCCATTTGCATTAACATTCAAGTCACTAATTCACAAGAACTTTTTAAACACGAGTCAGCCTCCTTCGGAATCCACCACTGTTACTGAGAAATTCATTACAGTTGTCTCAGCATTGCACGGTATCTGAGATCTGCTGCTCCAGAGCCAGCCAACCACTGGGGATTTCCCTACACCCCTCACTTGAACTTCAGCTGAAGCCCTCACCCCCTTCAATGGAACTTCTCATGCTCTGGCTTTAAGCAAGTAAGTGCTCAGCAAGGCCCCAATCCTGGAAGCAACTTGTGTAGTGAAGTACATTCAGCTGTTAGCAAAGCACTGGAAATATATACCAGCCCTCATATGATCATAGAGAGACACTTTGATTTAGTTCATCAGTTTTGAATCACTGAAGTCCTCAAGGAACATGGGATGCACTCGTGCTTCTAAAACACTTCAAAAAACATTCTCATTCTCTCTTTAGAAGGGAAAAGATCAGTTTTTCCTCTTTATTTGAAAACCCTAATTTCTCTTCCTTCCTTCCTTCCTTCCTTCCCTGCTTGCTTCGTTCTGATGGAGCTCAATACTTCATGGTTCTAATTTGTTTACATTGTTCTTTGTACCAGGCATTGCCAAGCCCATGAATATCAGCATAACATTGGCTTTTTTAATTAATATTCTCTCGGTGTTTTCCACAGGAACTGAAATTAGAGAAGGGGGTTGGATTTATAGGGGGGGAGAGCAAAGACAAACAACTAAATTGGCAACACTGAGAAACCTCTCTGTACCCTAGGGTAAATCCTAGCGGGAGGGGCAGCAAAGACATTCTCTCCTAATTAATCTGTGGCTGCATGGACTGACTCCAGTCATCATTTATTTTACATACATTGGCTGCATAGGATTCAGGACCTTCCACCCCAACCCTTGGATTAAAGGAGAATTTCGGTTATATGTAATAGCACAAGGGCTTATAGCCTCATAAGCCAAAGAAGATGGACAGCTGGAGGGGTGCCGTGGTCCTGCGCACTTGAGCAGGTCCGACATTCATAGAATATCAGGATTGGAAGGGACCTCAGGAGGTCATCTAGACCAATCCCCAAACAGATTTTTGCCCCAGGTCCCTAAATGGGCTCCTCAAGGATTGAACTCACAACCCCGGGTTTAGCAGGCCAATGCTCAAACCACTGAGCTATCCCTCCCCATCAGTCACACGTACAGGGTTAAAAATAGGAAAAGATAAATAGGAAAAAAGTGTTTTTTAAAAATAGGAAAAGATTTTTTTTTGAAAATACGAAAAGATTTACTCCTAAAAATGAGGAATAAATTTACCTTAAACACACTTTCCTGGCTTTCGATGTTTAAATCTGGAACTTTTTTACAGCTTACATATACCAAGTGCCGTCTGTCTTATTAGAACTAACTGAAGGCAGAGAGGTTAGAAGTCTTCAGCCCTGATCCTCAACACTTACACCCCTAGGGTCAGATTTTTAAAAGTATTTGATTTCAATGGAGTTAGGTGCGTAGATGTGATTAAAAATCCCATTAGATGCTTATCTACACCTCTAGGTGCCTACATATCTTTTAAAAACCATGTCTAGAGCACTGTGTGGATACAAAATTTGTATCCTCATCTGATCTGCGATTCGAAATACATGGTCCACGGATGCAGATATCTGCAGATAGAAGGCGGATATCCGCAGATTTGCAGGGCTCTAAATATGGTCCCATTGCTCATTGAAATCAATGGGAGCTTTACCATTGACTTCAGTGGATGCTCGTACTAGCCCTCCTTTTGTGATATGCCCTCCGACATACGGCTATGCAAGTAAAATATGCTTTAGAAGCTAAACAGTTTAAGATTCGCATTCTTTCCAATAAATTGCAAGAAAGAGGAGTTCAAAAGAGTAAGCAATACTCTTAAGTCTTGCCTGGCTAATACATTTCAGTCTCTACATAGGAAATTTTTTATTGATTATTTCATATTATTAATAATAATGTAAATTCACTCTCTATTGAGCAATCTGATTTCCATTATAGCAAGCTGCATTTGTTTTGCAGCGAATCAGATAAATGCAATACTATTAAAGGCTGTCAAGCTTGGGGCAAAACAAGATTCAGCTGCATCCTACTTCCCCAGATTCTTACATCACTGCACAAGACCACCGATGTGGGCAATGTCACTTTGTAGGCCCTGATTATGGTTTCCATTCTTACCCCAGCTTCTGGTTTCACCATCGGAATGGTACTGGGCTGACCCTCTTGATCCAAGACAACAAATGTCATAAAGGCACTGTTGATGTGTCTTCGACTAACTTCCATTTCCTGCCGATAGGCCTCGACGCAAACGCCAACCTCCATGCTGGAAAGAAAGAATGGAAGCAGATCATCGCTAGGTGCCTGGGGCGTAAAGCAACGCTACTACCTAGCTAAAGGAACCCAGCGTGCCATACATTTCATTGCTTATCTACCAATAAAAAAGCAGAGGAGCCTAAGAGTGGACCTACTAGATCAGTCCAGCTCAATCAGTAGGGCCTGGTCCACGCTAACCCCCCACTTCGAACTAAGGTACGCAAATTCAGCTACGTTAATAACGTAGCTGAATTCGAAGTACCTTAGTCCGAACTTACCGCGGGTCCAGACGCGGCAGGCAGGCTCCCCCGTCGATGCCGCGTACTGCTCTCGCCGAGCTGGAGTACCGGCGTCGACAGCGAGCACTTCCGGGATCGATCCCAGAAGATCGATTGCCTGCCGCCGAACCAGGAAGTAAGTGTAGACCTGCCCTAGGACATGAAAAAGGCACTGACTCAAGCAGAGTGCGCGCAACTTTTCAAATCTTGATGCAAGTTTTCAACAAAATTTGAAATGTCAACAAAAAGGAGAAATCTTTGCAATGAAATCTGAAATTTTCCCCTCCGTTTTTTTGACTAAATCTGGTCACTTGGACTGGACGCACCACTCTATTACGTCAAGCAAATTTTGCCCACAGACACACAGCTCCCATGGATTTTAATGGATGTTGCATGTACTTTGTCTGAGAGCAGATTTAGGGCCTAAAAGTCTATTTTGAAAATTCACTGCTTCTCATGGGAGAATTAAGGAGGTTGATTTTGAAAACCTACAGTAAAAAACACATTTTTTCCTGCCTGATGTTTAGACCTGACCTGATCTAGGTAGGAAGTAGAATAAAAGGAAGTAAATAAAGACACACAGTGATTGGCTGCAATAGACTAGATGATTTAAGGGGTCTTTTTTATCTTTTATTTCTATTAATTTATTGATTGTGAATTTATTTTTATTTGAACCCATTTCAAGCTATTTGAGCCAATTCAGATTTATTCTCAGAACAATCTACAACCCGAACTTCTGAATCAACTTGATTTTACAGTCAGTAATGCAGTGGTTCTCAAATTTTTGTACTGGTGACCCCTTTCAAATAGCAAGCCACTTAATATATTTAACACCATTAGAAATGCTGGATGCAGAGTGGGGTTTGGGGTGGAGGCTGACAGCTCGTGACCCCCCATGTAATAACCTCGCGACCCCCTGAGGGGTCCCGACCCCCAGTTTGAGAATCCCTGCAGTAATGCATTCTGTAATTCAAGGGGAAAACACTGCTCTGTTAACATAGCTGATCCCTTTATATAGAACCAGATATTGAACTCGTTTTACAACAGATATTGAACATTGGCAATTCCTTCCTGTTCAATTATTTTTCTTCGTTTGTGTAAATCCAGCAGCCAATAATTTGCACGGTTTTGTTTTCAAAGACAAAAGTGCAAGCTTCTGTTTAACTTTCTTATCAAAATCCATTCAAAACCCTGAACCAGAGAAAGATGTACCTGTTTTTGAATGCATTATTAACAATAGCTTTTAACAAGAGGCGGTCCCCAACTTGTGATGGTCCCCTGAAATGGAACATTTCAATGGTCTTCAGAGTGGGGTGGGCATGGCACAGCCGGCTGTGGGAAGGGAGAGAGATTTGATTTGCAAAATGCACTCAAAATGAGGAAACTATTTCGCCAAGCCAACATATCAACCAGTGTGCATGCCCCGCTGCTGGACAAAATAGCAGACCTGCGCAAGTGTTCGTGCACAAAAGGGAAACCACTCAAGCCAGAGAGCCCTGAGAACAGGATAGGAGGCAGGTTCTTGTCAGGTGACACAGGTATATGCAGCCACCCCAAAGCAAAAACTTTGATGCTGGCCCAGCTATCACCATTACACAGTCCCCAGCAACACTCAGCCAGCCTGAGATATTTGGGCCTATTTGCTGCCCTCAGAAAGGCAGCCATTGAGGTCTGTATTCCCCTGAGAATGTGTCTTTTGCCTCAGGCCCAAGCCTCTTGGCCCTGATTCCCCATGTTGTGACTAATCATTCTCCAAGCTCTGAGGGTCACTTGTGCAGAGAGAAGCACCCTTTTCCTAGCCAACTGAGAGCACAAACGACTGGGACCACACTCTGCGTTTCCCATGCGGCAGGGCAACACTCTGCCAGTAGCCACCACCAGATCAGCTCATTACAAGCCAGTCTCTGTAGCCAGGTCACTGGTTATACTCCCTTTCCACTCAAGGATCCTGTGGCCCTTCTTTACCTCCCCCTTCGTCACTAGAGCTAGAGAGAAAGAAGCTTGGTTTAAAAAACGTCATCCAAAGAACAGAGTCCTTCACAGTGCGTCTTCCTCCTGCTACCGCACTGCAGTGTTAGCATTTGGTAGGCGCCCAAATGTTGGTGTGGGACTTGGGCCCACATTTATTTTGGCAGAGAAGCAAGAATGCAACAGTCATACAGGCAGTGCAAGGATACCGACAGCCAACCCAAGTGCGTCTGGAGCGCGATGTACATTTTATGATTAAATAATAAAAAACAGGGGGGAGGGGGAGGGTGTGGAAGGGGGAGAGAGAGAGAGAGAAAGAGAAAGAGAAAAATTTGCTCTGAATCTCTACCAGTGCCCTTCAAGTGCAGCTGTTCTGGGGCTATTGTTCCCACTCCACTGTAAAATCAGAACACAGAGACTACTCCTTGTTCAGTACGAGTCAACCTGAGAACTCAAAGTTAGTCTCTGAAGATCAAAAAACTAAACCCCGAAAAGGTAGATGGTGAAAAATGGGATGAGACATTTAACTCCTTCACTACCTCCCTTCCCATCACATCACATCACACGCAGAGGATTCAGAATGCCCATAATTCATGCATACAGAGCACCATCTAATGGACAACTGCTGATTTATCTATGACAAAATACATCAGTCCTGGACGTCCTTCAAGGTTTAGAACAAATATCGCCCAGTTCTTATATAGCTCTTTTCACCAGGCACTCTCAACGCGCTTTACAAAGGCGGGAATCACCGCTATCCCCCCTCTCCAGTGGCGCAGAGCGATGAAGTGACTTGCCCCAGGTCATGAAGAAGTGTTTCCAGGATCACAACAGTACACTAGAAATCTGTCCCTGGTCACGACATCGCACCAGACTATGTATTTGTACGTGAACAGAAACACTGGCCGGCTTTGCAGAAGAGCTGCTTCCAAACACACACACAGGGAAAGCCCCCTCACAGGGGAAACGTACTGCTACAGTCAGGCCAAGGGCCGACAACGGAGCTGCCTCACCAGAAGGAAGGCGCACGTGAGACCGTGCAGCCTCAGTCAAGGGGTGAAGCTGATTCTGTGGGATCTATTTCAATGGTGTGTTTCCCACCTCGCTCATGGGACTCAGAGACATGCCCCCATCCCCCAGGTCATCTTCCGGACCGGACCCACCGTGGTAAAACCTTGTGGTGTGATGCAATGACGACATCGTGACATAGGAATTTGTCCCACTAAGCAAACTCCAAAAATGGCATCCCTTAGTCGGGTAGGCTAGTCAAAGCTGGCTCCCCAAGAGTAGCGCTCGGGAGGAGAATCATCAACATGGAAAAGGCAGTTTGAGTCCACCCCATCTCAGGCTGTGAGGACTGGGCCTAGTCAGTATGCGGGGAGGAGATCCGCAAGGCTACATTGCTCAAGAGAGAAAGTGCTCTTGGCGTCTCAGTGGTGGCACTTTTCCCTTAGCGTCAATGCCAAACCCATGCCCAAGCAGGGCATTGGAGTGCTGGGCGGTTGTAGGCCCAGTGGCCTGACTGGAAAGAAAGTTTAGGTCCTGACCATAGTGGTCATTAAAGTTCAGAGGGTCTGTTCTTGCCAAGAACAGAGGAACTAACCCCTTGAGTCGTGGGCAGATAATTACCTGGCACCCCCCTCCCCCATGTCACTTCACTTGCACAATATTCTTCCTCCCTGTCTGCTGTACCGTCTTGCTGTGCCTCACCACCGGACTAGGTAATGAAGGAGCAGAAGATGCTAACAGCACATGCAATCAGAACCTCTCCTGTGACAGAGGCGTCTCCAGCCTTGGGGAGGAGAAGCTCAGAACTGCACCTTGCTGCTATCGTGGCCACGTTTTCCATCCATGCCATGATCTGGCCTCCAAACGTGTTCCCCTGATGATTGGCATGAGGGGGCAGCACCAGTTCCACGCTCTCCACCCTGGTCTTTTCAGCAGGCACCACGGTGTTGCAGTCTCCGTTCTCACGCTCTGGCATGAAAGAAACACGCGTTTACCAGAGTGGTGTGTGGAAAGGACTCACCCCACTGGGCTATTTGCACAAGTCATCACTCAACTAATTGCTACAAAACAAAAAACAAACCCCGTTTTCTCATCCACCACCATGCCCTGGCCCCTTCCTGCCCAGGGGACTGTCCACTGCCTTGCTGACTGCAGAAGGATTCCCCCATTACACCTACGCCACAGTCACCAGCCATCCAAGTGAGGCGGCTTTGAGAGCAGTTCATTGTCCCTGCTCAATGGAGGAGAGCGTTCACTGGGGAGCAGTGCAAGGTGCTCTTCCCCAAAAGAGGCTAGGAGCCTTCTTCTCAGCAAGCTCAGTCCCTGAAAGCCTATGGAGTACGAGATGAGGGGTCAGATCCAGCTGGTCTCTGTGGCTTTGCAGAACATTACCACCAAGTGTTTTGCCTGGATAGCACCTTCCATCAGATGAACTCTGAGCATGGTGCAGACATTCATGCAATTGCCTCACAACTGTCGTGAAGTAGAGATTATCTCCGTTTCACAGTGGCAGAGAGGTTCAGCGCTGCCCAAGATCAAATCTGTGGCAGAGGCTGAAACAGGACCCTGATCTCCTTCCCCACCAGTCCTGTGCTGCAGGCACAGCATCACCCTTCTACTAGCCCACCGGAATAAGGGGCTTTTTCCAAAAGCAATGAGCCAAGGCAAGAAGCAGCGATACATGGGGAGTGTATTTTGGGTGGCTAGAACCTCATAGTGGAGGCCAGGCTTCTAGGATAGAGATCAGAGGCAGCACAGTCTGGAGGACAGCACAGGACTAGGAGCTAGGAAATGCTGTCTTTTAACCCATCTCTGCCAGCAACTCACTGTGTGGCCCTGGCAAAGTCACGGTCTCTCTCTCTCTCTCTCTCTGCCTCAATTTCTCCCACCTGTAAAATGGGAAGAGTATTTACTTACCTACCTGGCAGGGATCTAGCAAGGAATAGTGAATACTCGTATAGCACTCTGAATATTGCTACCCGGTAACCCTACACCAAGTTGTGGAATTATTTTCCTGACACAGACATGACCGACTGTTTTCGGACCCCAGCTCAAAGCAGTCAGGCAAGCACCGGGCACAGTTTCAAGGTTTGCTTTTGTTCAGGGGCAGGGTCCGCAGGGCAGCTTACCAGTCTGCATGGTGCTGTTGGTGAGGAGATCCTTGAGGGTGTCGGTGTGGGCCAGGCGCATTCGGCGGCGCTCAGCAGCAATGCTGTGTTCCATTTTCTCCTCCTCGGTCTGAGGAGTCAGCGGCTTTAGCTTCATCTACATGCCAAGAGAAGACAGAGTGACTGTGTTTAGCTCTTTCCCCATCTCCACGCCGGTCCCATGGGGATGCGGTTCATTGATCAAAGGGGACATCAAGGAGTGAGGATGTTCCTATTTATCTGCAGGACTTTTGTATTCTAACTGGCACCTCCAGTGATAAACTCCAGCGTTAGTATGAATGGAGAAAATCTGATTCCTTAGGGGACTGAATTCTTCTGCTCGCTTTTAGAGGTGCTGCTTCTCCACAAGACCGAGATCCTCCTTGTGCCTTTCTTCCCAAACAATCCCAAAGCACTTTACTCTCCACACAAAGGAGTCCTTTGCATCCAAAGCACCTTCCATCAGGAAATCTCAAAGCACTTTACTAACAGGAATGACTATTTGCTTTACAGCAGCACCTGCAGACCTCAGCTGAGATCAGGACCTCCTGGGACTAAGCCCCGTACAAACATGCAGCCAAAGATTGTAAGTTCTTTGGGGCAAGGACTATCTACAAAAAACAAGACAAAAAGTGAGTGGGGAAATAGAAACGCAGAAATGGACGTGACTAGCCCTCATACAGCAGGTCAGTGCTAGAGCTGGGCATTCAACCCAGGTGTTTTCACTCCCAGTCCAGTGGACGAGGTCCCTTTATCTGAGGTAGGCAAGTATTAACCTGACTTGACAGATGGGGAAACTGGCATAAAGGTGAAAGGAAGGGTAGGGACTTTGTCAGAGCCATGAATAGAATACTGATTGCCTGACTCCCAGCAGTTTGCTCTAACAACTACCTCATGCCTATTTAAATAAAATTTGAATTGACAACCTATGCCAAGGTTTAAATTTGCTATAATCTATTAAAATATTTTAAATTAAGTACAAAATACATTACGCCGTATAAAGCAACAGAGGGTCCTGTGGCACCTTTAAGACTAACAGGACTAACATTACGCCGTATATGTTTGCTACCCAGTTTTAAAGAAAGTCAGCCCAGTGAACTGGCAGAGAAGCACCTGGAGTCAGAGTTTGTGGAAGTGCTAAACTAGCTTTAGACAGCTGTAACCTCTTCTGCAGGTGCACAGAGAATATTTGCTTCATTTCAGTGTATTCAGCTAGTTCTGTTCAATGACTAGTTCATTCAAGGAGAAGAAACGAACTGGGAGTTGAAAAAGCAGGAAAGCTTGATTTCTCTCTTCCAAAATGTGAATAAAAACTAGGTGTGAAAGGATGAGATATACTAGATCTAAAATCTTGAAGGACATGGTGACCAGAAACAATCTGTTCACTTTGCTAACTGACGATGAAGAGTTTATCATCTAAACTTCATAAATTGGTTTTACAATGAAAAATGTGTTCTGATAAGCTCTCTCTTTTATGTATCCAGCACACTTAAGGCAGTTTTATTTAGTAAATAAATTAAAATGCTGGTTTTGTGCATTTTTAATTTAATTTCCATCCAAATACAAAATTTCAAGTAAAAATTAATCTAGGTAAATTAAAAAAAAATTCAACGTTCACCTTTTTCTAACATAAAAATGTAAAAAAAAAATCTGAATAAATGTAAGTTAAGCTAAGCTATCTAATTGCTTAAATCAGCATATACAGATCCTCCTGGTTAGCAAAAAGAAGCACAAAATTTAGTATAGAGAGTATATCTGGTTGAAATGCAACATGTTTTAATGGTTACCAGCCACTGAGAATCAACCTATCTTTAGGAAAAGAACTACAAAGTACAAATGCAAAACATTATTGTTTTAAAAAAAAAAAAAAAAAAAAAAAAAAAAGATAAAATTTAAAGTCAAGGTTTTCTGCTTGATGGTTAAAGTCATGATTAAAATTGGTGATTTAAATCAATGCACCCTGTCGTTAAGTAAAATATGCAAACAGCTTAGCAGCACACTTCATTACTATACAGTGGTGTAAGATGTGGGGTGAAGGCTACCATATTCAATTGAGGCTACAGAGGATGTTTTAGGTGAAAGGCAATTACCCAAATGGGAGTTTGGCTAGGACTCTGGGACTAGCTTCCAGCACACTGTGGGATTTTTAATAACCATAAAGTATCAGCTTAAAAAAAAATTGAGTAAATGAATAGGAATGCCATTTATTTGTTAATGTTTATAAACCTACCTACCAACCCTTTGAGAAATCTAGTCCCTTTTATGAAGAGAACCAGCTAGGCAGGTAGCTAATCAAAAAACAGTTTATACAGATGTTCAACAAACCCTGCAATATAGAGTAAGTTATTATCACACATTAACACTGTGGTAGCACTTTGAGGCCCGTCAGATCAGGGCCCCATTTTGCTAAAACATATACAAACACAGTCAATACAAAATGACCACTGTCTTCATACATATGCCAAAGAATGGTCATAAATGCTACAAAAATACAACTAAGAATTACATTGTGTCAGACTTAAGGTTCCAGCAGATATCAGTGGTGTCACATAAAAAATAATCTTCACTTGGTTTTATGGGCCTAATCCAGTGCCCTTTGAAGCACTGGATGTCTTTCCAATAGATGCTGGATCAGATCCCAAAAGCAGGTTCTTGTCAGTGCCAAGAACCAACAGGTACAAATTACACCAGCCTGATTTCTGCAGGATCTGTTCCTACCTTGCCAGTTGCTTTGCCTTGTGCAACAAAAGTAGCATAGGCCTTACACACATTCCACTGCTTCCCGCTGCACAGATCTTCATAGCTGACCTGTATGCCAACCTGGAGGGGGTCACAATAGAAAGGCATTGAACAGAATGTGATAGATAGGGGAGACTTGTTCAGTTTGAATTATTTCTATTGGGGGGAAAAGACAGTGTGAACAACCTGACAAGGCACCACGTGAGAAGAAAGTCTGAGGATTCAAATCCAATGTAGAATTATTTGGGAGAGGAAGAGGTCATGTTTGTAGGCTAGCCCTACACACCGTCCTGGTGCTTGGTCCCAGTTTAGCAATTGATAATTTTGATTCTCTTTGCACGGGAACAGTGAGAGCAACGACTGCATTGCAAGTTACACGGTTGTCTAGTGAACAGATCACAAGGCTAGTTCCCTGGTCACCACAATGAAAACCACACATCCCAGATCATACGGTCACTCCCCCGAACAAAGGCGACCAAAACACACAAAGACTAGCAGAATAGAATCACCCTCGAGGGGTTATTACTCGATTATTAAAATGATCAAAGTTAAGGAAAGAGAAGAGAAGAATCCCATAGAGCTGGGTCCACAGTAGCACAGGCATGCAGGGTCACAGTAAAGCTGGAGAGTAGGAAGCCCCACAAGATAGCGGGTTAAAGCATACAAACCTCCATGCTAGAGTTAAAGGCTCGGTTTACTTTGGCTTTGATGTTAACAACTTGCCCAACACTGGAAAAAAAAAATACAATAAGGTGTCAGTGGAAGATGCCAATCGGCCTTGCTAGAGACATAAAACACAAGTTGGAAACCGACAGTGCTACAACAGAAAGCAGCACCTTTCACAGATTGACTATCAGGAGCAGCATTGCAGGTACCTTCTTCTATTGATAACAAATGCAACAGCTTTTGTGCAGAGCTATCATATTGGCCTTAAATGAACTATAAAAGTATACACCCTTCCAACCTAAAGAAATCAGACCAATCCCTGGTCAGAAAATTGCATTTCTTGATTTAGGATACTGCTAGACACCAGCTAGACTTTGCCAATTAATGTGATATAAAACCGAACATCCTCCCATCTCCTTTAATTTCTAGTTTGTTTTTTAAAGGCAAAAAAACAATGTTAATGCTACTGCAACACAGCACAGGTAATCCCTCAAAAGTCAGGAAATATAAAAGTTAAGTAAATCAGCCTATTAAAAGACAAAGTTAACTTGAAATCTAGTCAGTTTTTAAAAGAGCTGGATTCAAAGTAATTTCAGATCCCACTTCTGCCACCAAGTATCTTTACTAGTTTTGGGGGATTTAAAATCCCATTTTCTTGTTTTTCAAAATGTTTCTGTCCCCCAAGTGAAAGACCCATGGAAACTGATGGACTGATTCTACGGAGAAAACAAGGAAACTGACTAAACAAGATGCAAAAATAGAGAAGTATTTTCCTTCCTTCAGATCTATTTCAGTTTTAGCCATCTTAGGTAAGAAGCAGCATGTAATAGGCACTACTGTAGAACAGTCCGGGCACTCTTGTATAACATGATCAGTGTTGCTGCGTCAGCTGGCTCTAATAAGAAAAAACAGTTTGCAAAAAGCTGACGTATTATTGTGATTCCCATTTGCAATCACTGCAGCAAACTTGTGAGTATGGAAGTGGATGTCGTGTAAAGTTTCACTCAAATTTCATTCCAGCTGAGCGTGACACATGCCATACCTATGGCCACTTAGTGAGGAAAGCCATCTATCTCTGATACAGTGCACATTGGAGGCCCAATCCTACAAGGTGCAGAACACCCTAGTTTTTGGGAGCCACCCTGAGAGTTTTTAGGCACAGACATGAGCCCTTGGTCCAAGAGAAGACGTTGCATATCATTAGTTATGTTTTCTAGAAGCCAGAGCAGGGAACGGCCAGCTAACGGTACATTTTACATGCACGGCTCTCGCAATCAATCACACCTCCTTGGGAATGCCGGCTCTTCTCAATTCCAGTGGAGGTTGGCTTGGTGTTGGCATAAAAGTGATCTCTGATTTCAGAAAAAATGCAAAGTTTAAGAGAATGGCCTCCGTGCATGTCAAAGCCAGTAGGTACGGAATACTGGTGTCAATCAGGTTAATGCTACTATAACACACCACCACTAGGTTAGGCCAGCTGCTAAATCTAGTCTACTATTGTAACTTTCCGTATTCATACCAGACATTGTTCTTCCCATGCTGCTGCTGCCAGGGAGGCATTATCTGAATCTGTCTGATACAAAAGAAAAGGAGGGTTTGGGTACCAAGGATGTTGTCCTCTCTCGGTGTATTGTACATCATCTACAGAACTCACTTCACCACATTTTAGGAATAAGCTTTGATTTTGTTGGATTCATGGATTATTTCTGCTGCTGTCACCCTGACTGGGAACTCTGGGGATCAGGGTCCCAATGTGGTAAGAGCTATACAAACAGGGTAACAAGATTACAATTCCTGCCCCAGAGAGCTCACACTTTAAGTTTACGATCAGATGCAGAAGGTGAATGGACTAGACTCAGAAGACAAAGGGAGGGGATGTGGGAGGAGACTAGGAAGAAGTGGTAACACATTCCCACTTTGCATGGTAGAAAGTAGCCCCAGATTGCCCCCTGCCTAGCCTAGTGTTCTCTGTTTATCCAATACTGTGCATTTCTAGAAGTAGTTTTCCATTTGCTCATGTTGATTTTTGCTGCAGACTACATTAGAATGGACAGAAGTGGAGTCAGGAAGTCAAAGCCTTAGTGGGACAGACCTCTGGCCTTAGCACTCCCCTAGCCCCATGAGACCCAATCAGCTCTCTCTTCACTTCTTGCACCTCATTGACAGCTTTTCTAGCACTGGGCTGAATCAAAGGGTATGGCTTCCAGACTCTCTCCTTGTCTCAAGTGGGAGGGGCACATGCTTTATTACTGAAGGGTACAGGAACTCACTCACAGGTCTCTTGAGATAAACCCACAGACAAGCCCTCTTACACACATGCCAGCACACGCTTAAAGGGACACTGTCAATTTGAAATCTAGTCAGTTCTTTTTAAAAGCTAAGTGAGTAGTTTCAGGAACGGCAACTACCCACTGTCAATATCTGTGGTTTTACAAATCACATTTTCCTGGTTTTTAATGCGTTTCTCTTCCCAGTTTGGGGTGTATTGAGGGGGAAATAAAACACCCCATGCACACAGAGGAAACAAAGAGAAACTATAGAACTGATCCAAAGCCCATTGGAATTAATATAAAGGCTCCCACTGGCTTCAGTGGACTTTGGATGAGGTCCACCCTGGGAGGAAGGCCCTGAACTAGGGCTTAGGAAATCTGGGGTCAGTTCCAGGTTCTACCCCAGAGTCCCTTAATGGATCCCTGCAGGTGAGCCCATGGCCCACGCAGCGCACCCCTGGAGCGGTGACCATACAAAGCTTTCCAAGGGGGCAGGTTATTGGCCCAAGGAAGTTTCAGAACTTCTCCGGAGCTGTGTGTGCTCAGCAATTCCAACACTCCTGCAGTAGCAGTGACTAAAGGCAGGAACATTATGGCACAGACAACAGCAGGGTTCAAACCTGCTTTAAAGGTACCAGTGAAATCAAACTAGAGGAGCTTATTGAAACAGGACCTCATGTTTCATGTAATTCCTCCACAGATAAAGATGGCTACAGCTTTTCGGCAGAAGAGCTCTACATCGTTCAAGTAGAGACCCTGCTGCCTGCGTTCCCTCCCACCTCACCGTGTTTTACATGATGGATCTTCTCCAAAGATACACATGGCTGGCCCACAAGTCCTGGCAAGGACGTGAACACACACTGGCACAGCACATGTAATCAGGTGTCCTAGTGGCTGGCTACAAGGTCTGTAGCAAACTGCTAATTACATATGGCTTCCAGACTCTCTCCTTGTCTCAAGTGGGAGGGGCACATGCTTTATTACTGGAGTTCTCTCTCCATCCATGACCAAGGGGTGTGTGTATGCAAGTGGCCACTGCTGGCTCTTTAAGCAAAGCAGACACCGCCCCGAGGCAGTGACCACACAAGGCCGGATAGCACCAATTGTAACGATCACTTCTAAATGTTCCAATCCCTCTGTCTGCAACAGGAGCCCGTTAACCTGACAACAGAGGCTCAGGCACCGATTCCCATGAGCCTGCGGCACTAATGCCGAAAGGGCTACCCAGGTTATTAGGCCAGAATTCCCCCCTCATCCTTTGGCCTCTGACCCTCAGATTATGTTTATTATTAATCCTGTTTATTATGGTGATGCTTAAGGGCCAACCAAGGAGGTGATTGGCGTGGTACACAACACAAAATAGCAGGTAGTCCCCACCCCAAAGAGATGACAGTCCAACTAGACAAGACAGACACTGGGTGAGGGACAGGGCAGAACACACAAGCAGAGTGACCAATGTGATGAACAGCACACTAGTTCCCGTAAATTTTGGGGGGCTGGGTTTAGTTATGAGGGGATCAGCTAAATGGAAAGAAAAGCAAAGGGAGAGGGGACACAGAAGGGAAGAGGAGCAGGGAGAAGAGGGTAACAGGGCAGGTGTGGAGCAAAGACCTGAAGAGATGAGGGAGGGGGAAGCAGAGGGCAGACATCCTGACCTCTACAGTGCTCCCGATCATCCCGAGACACAGAAGGGCTGCAGAAACCAAACAGTACAGCACACACTGATTTAGTGAGATCACTAGGCCCCGTTGACTCCCCCGACTAGGGAGGAGTCCCAGCGAGCTGGATTTCTCTGCCAGACAGTTCCAAGTACTGTACAAGGTCTTGGTCTGCATGGAAGTCAAAGTAGCAGAAAGCCATTGTTCCCCGAGGGCCGCCCCAGCCTGGAAGCCCAAAAACACGGGCTGAGATGTTTTTACCTCTTTTGTTCTAAGCTGAGATTGGACTCCTGAGTGACACCAGTCGTGCATACCAGTGAGCTCTAGAGAAGAGTGGGAAAAGTGTTCTAGGAAAATAACTCCTCGGCTAACTGCTTTCTCCAGATTGTTCAGCACACCACCGTGCAGGAAAGCGCAGCCCTGGCCCATCTTCACTAGGAGATCTGAACACGACTGAACGCGATTCTCCACAGCGCGTTTGGTGACAGGACAGTGTCGAAGAGGACAAGTCAGGATCAGCATTGTGTCAGCTAGTCAGGGGTAAACCCTGCTCCTAGCATGAAGCTCAATGTGACTAGTCCACATCAAGTCCCCTGACTCAATTGTTAAAAACCAGGATTTTAGGCTTCATTAAAAGGTTTCTTTGTGAAGAGGATGAGACCTTAGAGCAATGTCAAGCTTCCAGCCCAGGACAAGCTGGTAATGGGGGGGAGGGATAGCTCAGTGGTTTGAGCATTGGCCTGCTAAACCCAGGGTTGAGTGTTCAATCCTTGAGGGGGCCATTTAGGGAACTGGGGTAAAAATCTGTCTGGGGATTGGTCCTGCTTTGAGCAGGGGGTTGGACTAGATGACCTCCTGAGGTCCCTTCCAACCCTGACATTCTATGATTCTATGACAGCACCATGACCTTGGAAAAGGAGAATTCTGGCTCTCTATCACGGCCAATCACTGGAGTGGTACCAACTAGAGCCCTGTGCAGGACCACTTGTAATCCTGCTCCCATCCCACTCAGTTTAGCAGGACTCAGCTGCCCCCCCTCACATCTGCCTAATGGAGGAATAGCAAGGATTAGCCTCGATTCCTGGTTTCTATGCAGGTGAATTCCCAAGAACCTCTCAGCCCCCTCTCCACCCCAAATGCCTCTGGAAAGTTTTGTGATCTCTACTTGGAAGATCTAGTTTGGACTCTAACTCTTCTAGGAGAATGTCAAATTCTCTCACACTCGTGAATTTGCTACGTCAGGCATCTAACTATCATCATACTGGGCGGCAAAGGAGATTCCCAAAACAAAACTACCAGCTTTTGGAGATTTCACTCATTTTCAGCAAATTAATTTTTCATATAGGGATCTTTTCCCTGCACCACAGTGGAGAAGCAGCAAGGGCAAGTCAGCGGGATTACAGGGTGTTCACCATGGAGTCCAAATCTATATAGGTCCAAACTGGATGGGTTTTCCCTGAACATTTGCAGAAACTCTCATTGGGAGGACTGCTAGTGAGCTCTGATCTATTAGATGGCAATCTGCCTTTCCACCTAGCTCACAAGTAATGCCAGGCCTGAGCCTGGAAACAAATACAAACACAAGATACCTTTCAGGAAAGAGGGGAATCTCTCCCCGCCCCTCTTGGGTTTGGATCTTGTTCAGTCCTACTGCATGCGGAGTAGCCAGCTCAACGGTTACCCTGGAGAAAGGTGGCCAACTCCCATCAGCCACTGGGGCTGGCAGGTTTAAAACAGGTTTGAGCTTGAAGCCAGCTCCCAGTGGCTGGTGGGAGTTGAAGGTATCTAGCTAGCTAGCTAAGATCTCTCCATACCATCTATTGCAACTGGGTCCAACTGCTACCTAGCTTCAGCACCCATAGACTACAAAATTAAAAGGAAAATGTTAAAACAAGAGGGTCACAAATACCTGTGTTTAAAGCTTATTTAAAGTAAATGGTTGAATCCAGAGGATTGATTTAGTTACTTTAACTTTAAGCCACCTCAGAGCACTCTCTAAGACATACTGGTAAGGCTGTACATTCCCACGGCATTCTATTTATCAGCTGTCCACATAACTAGGGCCATAAATTCCTAACACATAAAGGTGGCACATTAAATGATGGTGTCTCCATCTTTGGAGCACAGACAGAATGCAGCGGAATTGGTCTTCAAGATGAAATTATTTTAAACAATCACCTGGCCATTTTTCACTTTATCTCATCAAATAAAATCAAAGTCTATTAACACAATTAGCAAAAGATTAGTGGGAGATTCCAAAACCACCAATCATTCTTTTTTAAAGCTTCTCACAAATTAACATTTCCCTTTATTAATTTGATTTTTACTTATATTGGTGACTATCTTGGATTCCCTTTGTGATTTTGCTATAGATTTTAAACTAAACGGAGGATTGGTGAGAGACATCAAAGTAATAGCACGTGAGACAGCTCTCCATTCATCCACAAAAGTTAGCAGCATGAGCAGAAGCAGTGCCTACTTCTAGAAACAGGGCTCTGTTTCTCATCTAGTCAATCTCACACAAAGATGGTCTAGGAAATGGACCAAAATACCCAAATCATTTCGCACAGGCCACCTATCAGTAGCCAAAGTGAGAACTTTTATCACCACCGGCCTAGGACAGATTTGCACTATTGCCCAAGGACGGCTCCACAGCTACTCCCAATTCCTGAGCCATCTAGATGTCATTTGTCTATATTTTATATACTGATAGAGCAACAAAAGTACAGTTGAACATATGATATGTTAATGTTCTGTCTGGGGCATTGCAACACTGAAGAGGTTTTGTCAGAGGATTTTTCATGCAGTACATGACTGGTATGCCTGTAATTAATCCTAAGCCACTACTTTATTGAACTAGCTGTCTTCTGGGTCTCTTTCAAACAGAAGAGAGGGGTTTGATCTAGCTTATTATTACTTCACTAAGTTTGCTGCTAGATTTCCTATTCCAGCCGCTACAAGTTAGTGCTGACACACACACACACACACACACACACACACACACACACACGCACGTACGTCAAGGTTTGGTTTAGAAAACAATCCAAACAAGTGACTGAATGCTCATCTCAAGCTCTCAAGGCTCAACAGCTGGCTGCTTGTCTCCTGAGCACAGACTGGTGCAAAATTTCTGATGCTGTGCCTTCTACTTCCTGTCAGGTTAGAGATACAGGTACCACCTATCCTCTGCCTTCCTGGGTCTGACTGGGACAAGAATCAGATGTAAAATAAATGGAATGCATTAAAAAAATAAAAATAAGCCTCCAATAAGGTTTGGCTTCAGGTTTGGGTCAAGGTTCAGGTCAGCTCTCCTATCTGAATCAGTTACCCATTAAGGGACTGTCCATTAGCACTTAATGCACCATCAGGATTTTCCTAGGAGGTCTGACAGGACAGAAGATGCATGACTGGTGGATGCAGCCACTACCTTCAGGAGCAGCCGTGCATTTAGAGCCATAAGGATGGTTTATAACGGTAACTATGTCAGTGTAACCAACCAACTGGCCAACAGTTCTGTGCACCTAAAATAAAGGGTTTGTCCAGGGCCGGCTCTGGGCACCAGCCAAACAAGCTGGTGCTTGGGGCGGCACATTTTTAGGGGCGGCATGGCCGGCGCCAGAATGCCACCCCTAAAAATGTGCCGCGGCCGCCCTCGCTCACCTCCGCTGCTGCTGCCTGGGAGGGAGGGGGAGATCCCAAGCGGCCGCGGCGCGCGAAACAGCTGTTTCGCGCGCTGCTGCTCCCCCTCCCTCCCTCCCTCCCAGGCTCTCAAGCCTGGGAGGGAGGGGGAGGAGCGGCGCCCGCGCCGCGGCCACTCGGAGTCTCCCCCTCCCTCCCAGGCTCTCAAACCTGGGAGGGCGGGGGAGATCCCGAGCGGCCGTTTCGTGCGCTGCTGCTCCCAGACTTGAGAGCCTGGGGGGAGGAGGCAGGGCTGGGGATTTGGGGAAGGGGCGGAGTTGAGGCAGGGCCGGGGGGCGGCCAAAATTGTTTTTGCCTTGGGTGGCACAAATCCTAGAGCCGGCCCTGGGTTTGTCCACCTTAACTGGGATAGTAGCTCCTAGTCATGCCATGGAAATTAGAAGAAAGGAAAATATGCAATGAACTAACTGACCTTTTCTAAATTGTAAAAGGGCTTGAGGACATTAAGATATCTTGTATCTACAGCTCTCAAACCTGCTGATAGACAAATGTTGGCCTGAGCTCACGGACTGTGTGTGTCCCTTTAATAATACAATACCTGCAAATCACAGGTAGCCTTTAATGCAGCATTAACATTTTCAGGGAAGTGCTATCTTGGATTGCTTGCACTCAAAGTTCAGAAACTTCGCTGGATCTGAAGTTATACATTCAGTTCTTCACAGAGCCACACACAACTCTCACACTGTAGGAGGCATTAGATCTTGTAGGCCAGTAAGATAATGAATAAGTCCACATGCAGTGCAGTACAGTATTTCATTCAACAAAGCTTATGGAGACAGCAAGGATTTTAGAATTAAAAGTATTTCTTCACTTCTGGCTGCACACTAAAATGTTACATTACCGCACGCCATTAGACAACTTCTGTGTTCCACCCCAGAGCTGGCTGCATTTCAGCTGTGGGTGAAGCAACGATCCCTGTATCTCCTTACCTACTCTTCCTGGAGTGTTATCGGGTTTAGTTGATGGTTGTCAAGGGAGATCCTTGCATGAAAAGGTGCTACAGAGGTATTTACAGACAGACTTGTCTCCTGGGCTATAAACACTACGTCTACACCGCAAAACACAAACGAAAAAAAGCCATCCCTGAGGCGGCGGCAAGGTTCAAAGCCAGGGTCAAGTGACTCGGGCTCCCGCTGTGAGGCTAAAAATATCAGTGTCAAACATTCCCACACAGGCGCGAGCCTGGACTCAGCAACCCTGTGAGGGGGATGAGTCTCAGAGCCCAGGCTCCAGCCCAAGCGGGAACATCTACGCTGCTCTTTTTAGCTCCAGGGCATGAGCACAAGTCAGTTGAGCTAGCTTTAAGACTCACTGCCACAGTTACTGAGGCAAGTTTTTGGCAGTGTAGATATAACCTAAATCAGAGGGGGTTTCTTGAACAAATAAAAGAGCAGCTAGATTATGAGGAAAAACCAGGAGGATAACCAAGCAAGAGCCTCCCAAACGAACTAAACATCAATATTATTAGAGAAGTAACATGAGGCTGTTTGTTGTCAGATCCCAGAGGGATTCTAGCCCTTAATGTGTAGGTATATTGCAGAGCCCATCTCAGACCCTGGGTTCAAAGCCACTGTGTCTTACACTCCCTCCCCTTTCCTGTGGATTGGGTTGAGGAGGTGTGGTTTATTTGTCCAGAATAGAAGGGATAATTAACATGGTGTACAAACTCCAGTTCTTCAATATTTGCTGCATGCCAAAGAAGAGACTTTTTTCAAAGCCAGCAAACTGCAAGAGAGGAAAGCAAGGCATTTACCTAATCGTGTGCTCAAAATAGATATCATCCACAGAAGCCGTGACGCAGGGGCAGCCAGCATGTCTCTCAGCTAAAAAGGAGAACAAACCACATCAGTTACCTTCAGACAATCAGTGCACCAAACAAGCGGACTTTTTCTGTTCTTGCAACTCTAGTTGCAGACTTTGAACAGACACAAGTAACTCTCGTCTCTGCAGATCCACATTGTCCAGTGTGTGTAGGACACTGGATTCCCTCTCTGTTGAGGGTCTCCACAGGTTCCACGGAGAAGATGCCCATTTGTACTTCCCTTAATCAAAGGCTGTATGTGTTTAACATTAGCCAGCATACAGATTACCTGTCTGATCTTTCCAGTCAGACAGACATACTGCTCAAGTTAATGGAGCAGTTTTCTTAGCTGATTTTCCCCCTAAATCTGTCAAACATATTGTAACAGTTAAACCAATTGTACATTCTACCAAACAGAGATAAATTAGATTACATGTTTAAAAATTATATCAGTGTGTTCTCCAGTCTCCCTCCACATTCTTGTCTGTTGCTAGGATGTGTATTTATCTTGTAAGCAATTGGTGGGTAGTTTATATTTTAAAGACATCCTAGCTATACATTGGAAACTATCTCGTTATCTCCTGTGGCTAGAAGATCTCCAAGAGCGTGGGTTCTAAAAATACGAATACCAGCCTCTTATATAGTGCTTTTCATCAGCAGACCTTAAAGAGCTTCACAAGCGTGAGTGTATTTAGCCTCAAAACAGCCTTGTGAGGTAGGGAAGTGCCGTTATCCCCATTTTTACAGATGGGGAACTGCAGCACAGAGAGATTAAGTGACTCGCCTAAGGTCACACAGAAAGTCTGTGGCAGAACAGTGAATTGAAGCTGGGCTCCCAAATCCTAGCCTAGCACCCTAATCACTGCCCCATCCTCCCTCTAAAGCTTTTGTGGAAGTGCAATCCCCGAAGTGGAAACCCAGTTAAGGACAGCATCATGTATCAAGCTCTTGCCAACATTTTACTTAAAATCCCAATGCCCATTCAGTTTTTACAATCTCATTTGATAAGGAAGCATGACAGCAGGCAAAGGCCCTGGGTGCCAAGTTTCAGCTAGAAGCGATGCTTAGGTCCCTACCAAATTCACAGCCATGAAAAATGTGTCACGGACCGTGACATCTGGTCTCCCCCCATGAAATCTGGTCTTGTGTGTTTTTACCCTATACTATACAGATTTTGTGGGGGAGGCCACGATTTCTCAAATTGGGGGTCCTGACCCAAAAGGAAGTTGCGGGGGCGGGGGGGTCCGCAAGGTTATTTTAAGGGGGGGGGTTGTGGTATTGCCACCCTTACTTCTGCGCTGCCTTCAGAGCTGGGTGGCCGGAGAGCAGTGGCTGTTGGCTAGCGCCCAGCTTTGCAGTCAGCAGTGCAGTAGTAAGGGTGGCAATACCATATCATGCCATCCTTACTTCTGCACTGGTGCTGGTGGCAGCTCTGCTGGGATCCCGGCCAGCAGCCGCTGCTCTCCAGCTGCCCAGCTCTGAAGGCAGCGTCGGCGTTAGCAGCAGCACAGAAGTAAAGGTAGCAGTGCCGCAACCCCCCCCCTAGAATAATCTTGTGACCCCCCTCCCCCGACTCCTTTTTGGGTGAGGACCCCTACAATTACAACACCGTGAAATTTCAGATTTAAATAGCTGAAATCATGAAATTTACTATTTTTAAAATCCTATGACTACAACATTGACCAAAATGGACTGTGAATTTGGTAGCTATGCTGTATGTAACTGACAGATAACCCTTGAAAACATGGTACTGCGAGTGCTGACACAGCCTTAGCAAGCACCGCATGAACACCATGCTGTGACAGCACCAACAGCCGGACACTGCAGCCAGCTAACCTACAGGACTATTACAGTGACATCTGAGTCTCTCATACACACAGGGAAACAACGTCACCATTTCGGCCCTGCCAGCATTACATTTTCTAAGAGGGGGTTCTCCAATCTTTTCCTTCTGTGGACCACTTCATAGGAGCCTTCCATGGACCCACCTCCCAGACCATAAAGACAAATTCTAAAACTATGGCATCAGAGTCTTAATCCTAGAGCAGAGTTTTGTTACAGTAGATTGCACAATTGTCTTATCTTTGGGAGAGCTCTCAGATCTACCCATCCACCTCTTAAGAAGCAGGATCCTCTTCCATGCTAATCCTACTGGGATCTCACTTCTTCTGTTTCTGGGGAACTCCCATGAGAGCGGTTTGCCAGGAGTTCCCTCACCATCTCACTGATGCTTTGTTCTGAATTGCACCCCCAGGTCTCCTTCATATCTGATGCCCCAATAATCTGAAAACCCCGTTCATTTAAGGACTAGATCAGCCATCCCCTTTTATCTGCTTCCCCTCCACATATAAGTTTTCCTGTTTGTTTTCCCCTTTCGCAGTCATGTTAAGATACAGAACTCTTGAACAATATGTCCCATAGTCTGAACACACTCATACACACCACCCTGTTCTACTGGGACAGAACTGCTGTATCTGACAAGATTATTGGTTCATCTAGTTTAGCGTCCTCCCTTTGGCCCCAGTTCAGCAAAACATTTCAGCAGATGAGAGTAATCCCATCCCTCTCCAGCAAAGCACTAGCATGTGCTAAACTTTAAGAGCAAGTCCCCTGATTTTAATGGCACACACTTAACTGTTTTGCTGAATTGGTGTCATATGACTGGGATGCAGGCAGTCACGCCTCGTGGTTAGAACAGGCGTCTGCCCTGAGGTTGGCACTCATGCTCTTGAGTCACTACAGGCTGCTTGACAAGCACACTCCTGTATTAGCCAGGAAATGGACTGGAACTTTCTAATAGCAAGAACAAATCTGCTCACTTGTTTTTAAATCAATGCTGTTCCTGCATATTCTCACGTTTCCTCTGTTAACACTTGATCAGACAAAAGTCCTGTAGCAAAGGCTGTACTTTTAGCTCTCTATTATATTTTAGGCTGTCCATTCTCAGAGGTATCCTGTCCACAACAACTTCCATCCCTATAGATTGAGCTCTTATGAGCTCATCAGATGGGCAGAGAGGAGAGGGAGCTGGGGGGAGGGGAGGGGAGACGATCCCACAGAATGGGGAACCCCATGACTCATTTGAAGACAAGCCAGGGAGATGGTACCATGGTGGTGTCCCATAGATGTTCAGACCAAGCACTGAACAGATCAGTATTGAGGTACCTGGGAGTAGAAATCTGACCAGTTATTAAAAGGTTACATCCTTTATTCAGGACCATAATTGTTCTCTAGTCTCTGTAGAGAAATGAGGAGGTACACCAGCTGATTTCATGGCCAACAGGAAGGCTGATGAGCTCTATGGAGAATGGAAGTGAGTGAAAGAAAACAAGGGGCAGACAGTGCACAAAAGATAGTTTGGCTCAAAACCATCCTGGCCCACCTTACAAGCAGCCCTGAAGCCCTGAGCTAGCCCAGCGGATGTTAGCGTTGCCAGATGTCCAGTTTTCGATCAGAAAGTCCAATTGAAAGGGGACCTGTACAGTGTCCGACCACATGTACTGACTGGACACCAAAAGTCCAGCTACCACAGTTGGGGGGAGGGGAGGGGCTAAGTCACCAACCCATGCCACCTCCCACCTGCATCTGGTGGGCAGGCAGGCTCCTGTCCTAGCCCTGGAGCAGAGGGGAGGGGAGAGAGCAGCGAGTGATGGGGACAGGGCCTCGGGGGAAGAGGCGGAGCAGGGGCCGGGGAGAGGTTCCGGCTCTCCTGCTGCAGGGTCCGGTTTTCAGAAAGTAGAAAGTTGGCAGCCCTCGGGCGTTGCTTCTGTGCAGCGGGTGGGTGGCCAAACTCCGCGGCGCAGCTCCGCTTACCAGAGAGGCAGGCTGTGGTGTCAATCCACTTCAGCAGCTGCCCGATGCTCAGCTCGCCGCGGTGGTTTGTGTGGCACGGCAGCACCAGCTGGCTCATCTGCACCTCGGTGGGATTGCGGTATCGCTCCCCTCTCTCCATGCCCAGTGCCGGATCGGCCAGGGCCCCGGCGGGAAGTGCGGACGCTGAGCCCTATTGGGGAGAACAGACCTGGAACTCAGCCCCTGCGGCAGCGAGCAGGGGCCCGGCTGCAGCCTGCCCCACGCCACAGCCCTGCACAGGTTTGCAGAGGGGCAGGAAGGGCTCGGGCCATCTCAGACGAAGTGCTTTGGAGAGAGGGACTCTCTCCCGCACCCCATTGAGAGAAGCAGCATCTGCTTGCCCCCTTAAGGCTCAGGACTGAAAAGGCCCCGTGCCATCAGCTTGCAAGGCTTGTGGCTAAGAAATAACCCCCTGTTCTAAGTGCAACAGTCCAGGTTAAAACAAACAAACAAACAAACCATTTTTTTAAAGCAAGATTCCCTTTTCCCATTAGCTTCGGGGGAGAAGAAAACCACACTTTGCTCAGCTAGAATGCAAAGATGGGGAGTGTCAAAGGAGCCCCAGGGCAGCAAGTCCCCAATTCCCCAGTGACACTGAAATTCCATGGAACTGAGCATCCAATTCGTAAAATCCCTCCCAGAGCATGGCTGTAATCAGGAGAACGCCTGTGTAAAAGTGGCACCTTCTTACATGTGTATCACTTACCTGACTGGCAAAAAAGCAGTTTCTCCTTTCTGATTAGCACAGTTCTGCCTTAGGCATCATTATTTATCATCTATATAGCACCGAGAAAGAGGTAGGGTGACCAGATGAGAGGGAGAAAATATCGGGACACATGGGGGGGGGGCGGTTTGCGCCGGCGGAGCAAAAAAAAAAAAGGAGGGAGGGCCCCAACGAGCTCGCAGAATTGTCAGACCACAAACTGGGTCTGGACCCAGACTGCCCCAAAGTTTGGGGTGTGGCGGTGACCAGTGAGGTTTTGGTTCTGGTCCACCTCTAGTTACCAGGCAGGAATTGGAAGTAGTGCTGGGCAGAAAATACTCCCTTCTTTTCTCCCTTGGAAAATCTCAACAATGAAAACCAAAATATTTTGATTCAAAAATGGCACCTTATGGCTGCTGTAGTCCCATGGTAGGCCAGGGCCAGGGGCTCCTGACACTTCCTCCCCTCACCAAGAATGGAGAAAGTGGTGCATTGTGGAAGGTATAGTCCAGCCAGAGAGCTTATCCCATGAAAGAGAATGGGAGCATAGGGCAGCCGGGACTACAACTCCCATGAGGCACCGCAATGCCATTTTTTAATCAAAATATTTCAGTTACCAGCCAAAATATTTCAGTTTTCAGTATAGCATGAAATATAAATTCTCCACAGAAAGCTGACACTTTTCAAAAGAAAAAATCATTTAGTCAAAGACCCAATTTTCTGTTAAAAACAGTTTAGATGGAAAGTTTTCCACCAACCTGCCTTTAAATCAGAAAGCAGAGCATGGTTTTCAGCTCACAGGCTGTTTGCAGGGCTGGCCACTCCAGTACTCCCTGAACACTATCAGATCAACTACAGACCCTACATTGCCATGCCTGTGTATAGTCAGACTGATAGGAACAGCAGCAACTCACGCAGTAGTTTATTCTACTTACTATGTACCATAGTTGAGCCTTAGGCTCTTTAAAACATGATACATTCCACATCTTTAATAAATAAAATAGAAAACAGCAACACACTAATCTACTTCTCAGAACTCTGTGTTTTACTAGCCAGATTATCCATAGATCTGGACCTTTCTACTTCCCCATTTGTTTGGTTCCTTTGGCTTTATGCAAATTGAAGGTCTCTGACTCATGAAGCCAAATTTGTTCCTGAGTGGAACTCCAAGTAAAGGGACACGAACCTCATCAATAAATAAAAAGTTGAGAGAGAGGGAAAAAAGCATATGTATTTTACTTTGCTTTGTAGATGCACAGTAGTTTGTATCTACCCAGCTTCATACCTTCCTCTGCAAAGTCAGTTTCCCGTTTGAGTCTTTCACAAAGCAACAAGGGGGGGGGGGGGGGAAGACAACCAAAAAAGACAACCAAATACAATTGTGATTGTAAAGCCACAAAAAAACAGCAGGGACGGGTTCAAAAACCTCATTTTTTAAACAGACTAGACAACCGTGCTGTGTCCTTTTAGATCAGTGACGTTACACCAGGGATGAACTTGACCCCCGATGAGTAACTGACCAGACACAGCAGTCTAGATTTTGTTCCTGAACTTTCCTCTTCTTTCTGAGCTAGCAGCATCTCTCTTTATACAAAGTCCTTGTTGCAGCAGCGTCTCTTTCGTACAGCCTGCAGACAACATTTAAATGGTTTGGTTTCTGTTGAAACGTCCCTGTCCTTTGGGCTGGGCACAGCTGAGCACAGCGCAGTCGCTCGAAGCAGCTCTATCCTCCTCTCCTGCATTTCTAATAGGAGAGCTCCGTTTCCATAGCTACTGTTATACGATGTTCCAGAAATGGTTCAAGTCTCAGGTTAGAGATTACAATGTGTGTCAAGTACATTTGTATTAAAAAGATCACACCATCACCCAGTGAGCTGGAGTCCAGGTCCTCCACTAGCCACAGAGCACTGCAGGATCGCTGCATTCCCTGGAATTCACAAGCCACAAGTGTTACATGCCAAGAGGAGCTCAGCTTTCGTTAACTCTTGCAGAGTCTTTTTGAAATCAAACCTGCTAGTCCATTTTGTGACTTCCCAACCTCCCCACACTGGCAACATGCCAGAAGACTATTTTTAGAAGTCAGCCTTAAAGTTACAAACCAGCCAATCGGTGTTCAAGACCTGCGATGGAGAGTAAGCAGTATGTGTCTCTGCGGAGCCGTCTTCTTTTTACAAGCTCTTTGTGTTGCTAGACCTATAGGAAAAACTGATAAACCCATAGGTACCAAGAATGAATTTCCTTGTCCCGCACTAACCCTCACACTGATATAGCAGTGGCCAGGTATATTATGGAGAATTTATGCCTTTGGTATTGGCTACAGCCAGAAGTATGACACCAGGTTAGGACCAATGGCCTGCTCCCGCTTGACAACGCCTCTGTTCCCGACATCTATGCAATCCACAATCACATGGCATTATCTGCTGTGCCAGGAGAGAAGAATACCTCTGATTAAATTACAGCATGCTGCACAGGACAAGGTTTATGAGTAGCCACAGAGCCCCGGCAGTCTGCAGGATTATTCGAATGGTAAGCAGGGAAGTTGGATGCCATTGCAAACAGAAACACAAGATCATCTTGGTGGCCACAATATTTATTAAGCATTTTTATGACCTTTAGAGACAGGCAGAATGGAAGCTCAAACCAGACTCCGAGGTTCAAAACCTTCCCAAACTTCAGTTCACATTCCCTCCTGCCCTTGAGTCCCATTTGTCATTCTGTACTCCTGGCCTGCAGCCAGTGCCAGAAGCAAAAAGTTCCACCAAAAAAAATGCCACGAGAAAGGTCGTTCTTGCTTTATTTCTGGCCCTTCTGAAGCAGGAAGCATTGGGAATCTCAACCAGCCGGGTCACGGGAGATTTCCAGACTCAAGAGCGTTCTTGAAGAGAATCTAGGTCAGGATTTTCAAACTCAGTTGCCTAAAGTTACGTACAGGAATAAGTGGCCTGGTTTTCAGTGATGCTGAGTATCCGCAGCTCCCCTTTGAAATCAGTGCAAGTCATGGGTGCTCAGAGCCTTTGGAAGAAAAAGAAAGTCAGGCCATTTATTCCAGTGCCTCACTTTATGCTCTTGAGTTTGAAAACTCTAACCCACGTATTTAAGTGCCTAAATATGGAGTCAGCTACTGAATGTTAGGCACCCAACTCTGAAAATTCTGCCCGCAAACTTTTGGGGGCTTCTGCGAACTGCTGCCTGTGAGGTTCGCTCAGCAGTTACCTTTGCTCTGCTTTGGTGACCAGAACGTTTATACGGATTTAAGTTTGCTACTTGATCATTTATACTCCTCGTGTTTTGGTTTGGATGGACTCAGCCTTAGACTTGAATGGAGAACAGGGTGACCAGACAGCAAGTGTGAAAAATCTGGACAGGGGGTGGGGGGTAATAGCAGCCTATACAAGAAGAGGAGCCAAAAATCGGGACTGTCCCTATAAAATCGGGACATCTGGTCACCCTAATGGAGAAAGCTATTCTTTAGGCAAGTTATACCGCGGAATGTTTCTCACCTGTATGAGCATTTGCAACATACAGATTTTCAAAAGGACTGTCCCATTCTAAAACTATCTTGCATCTGGGCTTCAACCCCTCCCCCTAAAAGCCTCAAATATTTACACATACAAATCAGATCTCCCTCTCCTCCACATCTCCCGAAAGATCATTTTGCTTTTTGGGCCCCAACATAGCTCTATTTGAGCCTAGTCTTCTGGTTGTTGGGTTTTTATAACGCACAGCTACTGCAAACTGAGCTGGCCTTTCCTTGAACGCCAGAAGATTTGCCCCTTTTAGCAGGAAGCTAAGATGTGCATAGAACACAGCCTCTTTAAATGAAAAAGAATGAAGTGGCTAACCTGGAAGCCTGGAAGATGCAAGAGACACACACGAGACCAATAGGATTCAGATTTAGAACACGGGTGCAAGTGAATTGGGGAAAGAAGACAGCAGCTGCCGATTTCAGGGGCAGGAAGTTTGTTTCTGCCTGGGAGGGACATGACAAGTCTCTCCCATCACTATGCTAGCTAGACTACTGCCCACAGCCATCACCATGCCCTGCTTGGCGGAACGCTTGTGACTTTTCGGACTCCTATCGCTGCGCGCTCTCTCCAGCAGTGCAGCAGAAGGTACATGAGAAAAGAGCACGCTGAAGGTGTAACGGGAAAAGCAGGAAGCGAGCAGAAGAAGAGTAGTAGTGTGGGAACAGGAGAACAGCACATAAGTGGGGCATAGCTAAGCTCTTCCCCCTACTTCCCAGCTCACTAAAGATATCCCAGAATGCACCACTCAAATGACATGGCTTGCAATGAGACTTCTGGTTATTGGATTGCCACATTCTGTGTGTGTGTACGTACATACGCACGCACACATATATATAGGCAGAATGTGGCAATATACAAACATCTGCATCATACTTCCCTCATTTTACCCATCCTGCTATTCTTACCCCCAAAGTATTTCAT